GATGCTGACATCGCACACTTCCTCTGAAGAAGAAAAGATTCTCTGTCTTCGAAAATTTGCTCAAAAACATCAGGAACAACAACGAAGGTCCTCAGCTGCCCGAAGATACCGCTGAATAGCATGCATTTTATCGCAAGTTATCAGACCTCGCCAATTCTTCCCTTCCCTTCCCACCCCACCGACTGGTCTCTTAATCCCCTTGAAGAAACTCTTCTACAGCCAGTGCTGAAGAGTTTTATTACAGTTTTTATTATATTGAGGGGTTAGAAAATAAACTAATAAGAGCTCCGCTTTTGGGCTTGGCTAAATCTATATATTAGATATGTCATATACTTATAGAAATACGTCATTAAATCAAACCAAATCAAAACAATAGAGCTTATTTATGTTCGCGGGCATAAATATGTTATGACTGGGTCCAAAGCATGTATTTATGCCCAGGAACATATACTCTATTATCATTATTACTATTACTTTTGGGGGCATTAAGAAAATAAACACTGAAATAATGGCAACGAAAAAGTATGAATAATCACGCGAGCATGCGAGCAGGCTACACTTTATTTTTACCCGCCAAAGTCTCCATTTTAGCAAGACAGCAGAATGCGCCACAATGGGGTTAAAATCGCGGGTAACTCAATAGAAGGTGTCATTTAGACAGGTAACCTCTTCCGCAGTGATATAATTCTAAGAGAAAGTCCCATGATGTTTTTATCGTGAAAAGAGAGTGAAATACAGAGTAATTTACGCCCTCCGCTTAACGCTCAAGTTATCTAAGGCGGAGATAAGGAAAGACAATTCAACACTAAAGGATAAGAAGAAACTGTTATTGATTGAATTGGTGTTCGATGGTTTTTTTCCTTTATCAGCATCCTCACAGGCAAGTTTTCCACCCTTTGTTCTTTGCTCGTAAATCATTTTAATTTCACAATCTTCCATATTGGTGTTCTTACAGCTCTATGTTTTGCTGATGTGAATGGGGTATTAGTTTGCAGTTTGAGAGCATGAGAGCATTTCTAACCATTATCCACTTACAGGTATAAAGTTAGTTTTCGTGATATCCTTCTTGGAATTAAAATAATTCGAGGGGAAAGGTAAGCACAAGACTTCACAGGCTTAGATAAAGGGAAAAATGAATTTAGAAACAGACAGAGTTCTCAAGCGGAACAAAAGAGCCGTGGGTTGATTAGCAAAATGGAGGTAAAAAACCATTTCGCGGTTACGCTAAGTGAACACCTCCTTAACTTGTTCGGTTTTGGTTAAAAAAAGATCTTAAGTCGAAGGATCAATATAGTGCATTTTAGCACTTTGGGCCACAATTGTCGACAACGGGCAATCAATTCATCTATTATATACTGTACCCTTCGACCTTGACAACTTCATCCTATAACTATTACTGATATGAAGCAGATAAGAAGCAGAGACAACGATTTTGTATATAATAAAGGTTTGAAATAAAGTTTCAGCTCACGTATCCAATATAATCCAATTCAGTTTGCTTTTGCTGTAATCTTTTTTCTAGAGAAAATAAAAGGAAAAATCGTACCTTCTTTTCCGAGAACAGCGCACGTCATAGTCACCACGAAACAGATTATTTTTAAATTCATAATGTAACAAAGGCTGTGTAACGTCTTTGTTTAAGATTTGCAATTGAAGACTTCAAAGACAAGCTCTCACATTGTTAAATCTGCTTCATTACGTTTTATTGCAATCATCCCACCACAAGCCGGTCACCTGTGAGACTTGAAACTTTAGATATTGATAGAGGTTTGACAGTCTTGTCATTTAGAATTAAGCCTTTGTGCTAGAATTAAGCCTTTGCTCAAAAGATGAGCGCAACACGTTGATAACTGCGTGTCACCAGGCGTTCTAGTTAAGGATTTTCAGAACGGATAGAGGAGCTCAAAAGCATTTCCCCACACTTTCATAGTAGAATGAAATTACAAAATTCTGCACCCTCTAAAGGAAAACTCCACTGTAGAACAAATCGTCCTTAAATTATAAAAAAACAAACTTTGGAGATAAACTCTGTTGACATAAAAAAGGTACGGGTCCTATTTAAGCTGGATTTTTATACGCGCCGCCATTTTGGATGATGTGCCCTTATAGGACATAAAAGAATTATTCAGCGTCTGATGATAAAAGTGGCAGCCGTGTTACGGGAAATTCAAATATCACTTTGTTTGTATTCCTTTCTAATTTTCTTACTTTCCCATATATTCTTGTTTCACTAATTTTTCCTAGAATCTTCGTAACGCAAGAAATTTTCCATGCAGTTTAACGGAAGCTTGTTCTGACTGTGGAGGCCTCTTTAAAAACGATTTCTTCCTTGTGTAAATTTAAACTTTACCAGTTTCCGTTATGATTTTCACCTGAGCGCTGATGCAGCTTTAGGAATGGCATATAGCAAAACTGATTTTCTCCCTCGGTAAAGGTGATTAAGAACATGTTGGTTGGCAAATGGCGACTCCAAATTACCCACTGAAATGTCCGCCTCTCTGATGAATGGAGCCACGTCATTGAAAGTATCATTGTACGTATGGTACTTGTGGTCGACATAGTATTTGATGGGGCCAGCAAAGGAAATATCTCCCTCGAACAGTAATATAACTTCACCTTAAATGTTCAAAGGAGGCAAATACGTTGATATTACAATAAATATAACAATAACATTCAGTTTCGAGATTTCTGTCGCGTGATTGTTGATAATGGCGACGACCAAATCAACTATCAAGCATGTAGATTCAGGTTTTCGAGATTTCGTACTATTTTTAAAATGTATTGTGTTATTCCTAGAAACCTGTCATAATATGAATGAAGAGGAAACCCCCGTGAAATAGCGGATGACAGTCAATCTACTTACTTTGCTCACCAGGAGATACCATAAAATCTTTTTCTCACTTCGGTCGTGGAATATATAGCGAGTGTCGTTGCTAATCGTATCATTCGTTAAGGAATGATCGGTAGATTCATAAAAAAATCATATTGTAATTTCATCAAAATCATGTGTAGACAAAAAAAAAAGGAAAAAAAAACGGTCTTTGTGAAGCTAAACCCTGAGTTGTCATTGTCATTCACGTAACACCCTGAAATCGCTATGAAAAGGTTTTGCTGTGGAAATATGATGAACTAAGCTCTTTTAATTGCTGTTCGAACTGTAATGGCCTCGGGGACATGCTCATTTATCATCTTTATTTTCAAAAGGGGAACACATCAGAAAAATAGTATGTAATTATTGACTGACTAACAAGAAAACTTATTTGGCTCGAGTTCATGACGCAGGTGTCGAACGCTTCAAGGCCTGCCTGCATGTCATAGCCAATAGTCATACTTTTGCTGCACGACTTTGCTCTGTAAATAAAACCATTAGCCGTCAGTCGTAAAACCATTAAGACCCACTTGTTGTGTGGAAAAAACGAGACCAAACAACGGCTTGGAAGGTTACTAGAAGCCTCACAGGTCACTTGATAAAATAATTAAACAGGCACCAGTACACCTATTTGGCAATGTGGGAAAAAGACGAGACAAAAAAACCGCTTGGATAGTTACTAGAAGCTTCACAGGTCACTTGATAAAACCATTTGTCACCCGTAACAAATGGGTGACAAGTGATGATAAAACAGGCACCAGTACACCTGTTTGTTGATGTCAGAGAGTCTAAATGGGGCTATTATTTTACGGTAACCGGTTAATTTCTTTCCTTTGATATTGAAAGAAAAATATCTATGAGACCCTAAAAATGTAGAACATAGCTTTATGCTTTAACGATGATGAGTGGTAATTGTAATTTATCGAAGTATTTACCTAAAAACTGTTTGATTCACACGGATAAGTGAAATACCTCACTATGCTCCTAAAGAAAGATATTTTTTGTCTTGTCAGAAGCGTGGGACTAAGAAAAAAATTATGAGTTCCCATGAGGAATCGAAATTTAGACCTTCGGATTCCGCTTCGGATTTTGCCAAAGGTCTGAGTTCGATACCTCACGGGGACTCATAATTTTTTCTTTGTCTCAAGCACGTGACATGACGGAAAACGTCTCAATCTTCTTACTCTCGGACGACTTACAAAAAGTCCATACAAGGTGGCAGTAAGTTAGATGTGGTAATATGGCACTCAAAACTGACCATCTCTCTTAGTTCTATTTATTATGCTTCTTTATAGTGATTTGATCGGATTTGCTGAACTATACGTCATGGGAATTTTTTTGTACCTTTTAATTTCGTTTTGGTACGGTGTTTCTCCAAAAACCACCTGTAAGACTATTATTTACGTGTCAACATGATTTAAGAGGCCCTGCGCCTAAGAAGCGACCGATGATTTCTGGCTAAAAATTAAAATTGGCCGATTTTTATCTTCCAAGCAGAGGTTACCTAGTACTATTTCAAAATGATTTCTTTTGCTTCAGTTTGCTTTAAACCAAAAATATCGAGCCGCAAACTGATAGCAGCAAAATCTGTCCCAAAATGTGCCCTTTCAAAAACCGGTTCAAAACTCATTATCACAGCACAAAATAATGAGAAAACTACGCAGTTATGAAGAAAAAGGCCTCTTAATGCAGTATTATTCGATACACATCGAAAAAACTGCAGAAGCGAATGAAATATAAATTTTCAAATATTGCATATCAAGTTAGATGGAGCGTTGGAGATGATTTTAAAATAATTATTTCTACAAAATCCAACACTGTTGAAAGCAATCACAGTGATGAATCAGACATTAGAAGGATATACAATACGTTTCTGGAAAAACGTTTTTCGGCCGAAGTATATTGACCTTGTACGGAGCGTTCAAAGTTGCAGTGTTTACCCTGCTTTCTTCTCGAAGATGGCAAGCGAGAAAAGAATCCTTGGACCTGCAATTTTGTAAGCCATTCTTCCCTTCCAAAACGCCTTTAATTATCATGAGTTCTCGCATTGCGCATGTCCTTTTGCTACCTGTTCTGCAGAAGCTTTCTGTCCAGTTTTCTCTCCTATGACAAACTTCTTCGTCAGGTAATTTTATACCTTCTCAGTAAACTGAGTAGAACCACCTCTTGCCTTGGCCAGAGCCCATCCTATGTTTGCTCCGGGAACAGATTTTTCGCTGTGAGCACATGTTGAATCAGTTTGGCAATGCTGGGGTTGATGATCTTCGGTTTGCACTGTTGCAAACATAGCAACCCGGTCTCGTTTTAGCTTATCATATATATTATGTTGCAGATCGGCCGGTACGTTTTGTACCACGTGCTCTCCTACATCTAAATGAAGTTCAAAGTCTGAAAATCTTGCAAACGTTTCTGTGCAGCCAGGCTCGGGACAAACAAAAACAGTTGCGCTTTCAGGCTCAGTTTTCGTCTCTGGTTTCAGGACTCTAGACACGCTTATGGGGAAAAATGGCTCCTTGGTAATGAGCGACGGTGATTTTTGCGGTTGCACAATTAAAGACTTGTTAGGAAAAAACTTCCCACTACCAATGCCATAACATCGCCAGACACAAATGCCTTCACCCTCGAAAAAGAAGTTATGAAATTTGCTAAAGCCTTCTAATTGTTTAACCTTAGCGTTCTTGTTTGACTATTGTCCAAGCCCTGAAGTGACCTTTTCTGGGATGCCTCCCTTACCTCAAGAATCTTAGAAAGAGTTCGGGTGCTGAGGGGTAAGAACGCCTCCTCTTCACAGTACTGTAAATACTGGGTTATCATGGTAGTTCGAGTTACGGTGCACACGACGTTAGGCATGGCCAGTTTCTCTCCCGTTTCTAGTTTGATTACTCTAGTACCATAAGCCACATCTTGATAGAAGTAAGGCCTATTGGCAAAATCGACGAACTGATTGACCTTTGCCATTGGAAGGCGAATTCGATGTTGGACAGTTTTTTCCTGTGGGATTCGAGGTCCTTTTTCTTTGGCATGTTCCAGACTTGTTTAATTTGCCTGCGCGTGAGGGGCTCATATGATTCGTGATATTTCATAAGTCTTTTTGTGGGGAATCTGTAGGCATACAGACTTAAAATCTGTAGTTTGACTCTTTTACAAGATGCATCTCTATATGCCGTCATCAGCGCAGATAGTTCTTCACTACCATCGTCTTCTGATGCTCTTGCACTCGATTTGGATGGCGCCTGAAATAAATTCCCTTTTACGTTCGGGGCTACCACCTCATAAACCAGAAGACAACTTTGGAGAACTTTTTCCTGGCTTTTCTGGTGATCGAGTTCGGTAATATTTTCCCGTGATGTCTTTAGGCGAGATGTTAAAGGGGAGAAGTTGTCTGCAGACGAACTTGATATTGCTAATTTTGACATTGCCGTGTTGTTGTTGAAGAATTTCAGCATCTCGAGGAGTGATAAAGGGCTCTTCTTCGTCGGAGCTACCACTGCCTTGAACACTCATTGTACTTAGGGTCCAGGCTGGGACCTGAGGACTCGTGAAGATCGTCTTAGGCGTTGCTGCAAAACCTGGAATCGGCTCAGCGCAGTGTATAGTCTTCAGAGACCTCTGTCACAAACAAATTATTTTCAGTTTTTATTTATTAATGTTGTTTAGCCTTGTAATCAGATTAAAACTTCATTTACTACTCACAGAGAAGATAAAGTGAACATATAATGAATGTTGTGTACTTTCATTAAACACCTATAAGTTCACAGCCCGTACTTCCTCAGAAAAGATATTTCTTCAATTTAAGCATACCTTAACTTTTCCTTTTTTCAGCAGCATGTGTTTTTGTACAATCCTCTTTAGGAGCAAATAATGTAGAATTCGTATCTGCTTTATTTTTTTTACGACCGGGTGAACATATAGCTAATGGAAAGATAAAAGAAAAGTAATAAAAAAATACCCTATGAGACAAGCACTGTGAAGTAAGAAAATTTTTATGACAAAAAAATCCTCCGAAAGTTTCGGCAGAGATATATCGAACAACTGAAACACCTCCTTAGCCATGGCAGGGTTGATCACGTCACGACTTTTGACGCTGGTAGGTGGTGCTTTGTCCTCCGGATACTGACACAGCTTTGAAGGCCTCCTGTACTTGCCCATACCATAGCGATGGCGAGCACAAACACGTAAGGTTTTCACTTATTCATGAGACAAACGGTCGAGGCCAGCCCTTTGCAGGATGACCTCATATTCTTTCAGGTTTGCACGCGATGAAAAACAATTTTTTAGATGTGTAGTTACATCATCTCGACATTCATACAGAAACACTGTCTCCGTGTTACAACGTGAGGATCCGCATTCCAGGAGACCCTCTTTTGACTAAGAACAGGCATCTTCCATAATTACCTGGTTGTTTCTATTTTTACGTCCGCTGACCCCTGTAAGCGCGTAATGTCCGTTGGAATGTAACGAAATGCATGCAGCCCACCAAAGTACTAAATTGACACTATCTGAGGCTAATTTTCACCTAAATTCATCATCATTCATGGAAATAATATAAAACCGTTTCACTTCAGGTTTTCTGGCGGCGGAAGAGTTGTTTTTTTACTAATATTTTACGCATTTGCTTGGATTCCGCCGTAGTTTGGAGATATGAGTGCTGTCACGCGATAACATTTCCAAGATTCAACTATCCTCAGCGGATGGTAAATGTATATTACTTTCTTTTTCTACCTATTTTTCATCTTCCTTTCTCTTTTAAAACCATAAAATTCTATTTAGGGATTCTTCCTTCTAACAACATTTAATAGGTATGTCATATGCTTATGAAAATACGCCGTTTAATTAAACTAAACTAAAATAATAGAGCTTATTTACGTTCGCGGGCATAAATACGCTATGAGAAAAATCCAAAGCATACATTTATACCCAAGAACATGAACTTTATTATCACTGTTATTACTACTTTTGGGGGCATTGAGAAAATAAAAATTGAAATAATGGCAACAAAATAGTCTGAATAATCACGCGAGCGTACGAGCAGGCTGCAATATATTTTAGCCCGCCAAATTCTCCATATTAGCCAGACAGCAAAATTAAATGCGGCACAATGCCCGACGAAGATAATTATCATCATCTTCGGGGAAGCATTTTAGATACCGCGAATAGAAATGAATCATCCCTCACAAAACCCACATCTCACCAAATCTAGTACGACAGTGACCTTTTTTCTAAATTTTTTTTTTATATTCAACTAAAATAATCCTGTCTTTCTTCCAAAAACTGTGCATGTCATAGACATAACGAAACAGGAGATAGCCAAACTCACTTTAAAATCATAACTACGAACAGCTCGGAGACTTATATTTTTGGTTTTCGACTTTTTTCCTCCTCGTCCAGATTTTGAAGTGTTTGTCAGAAAATGGTTAACAGATAAGATAACTTGTTGCGTAAGGTCGATAACTTTCAAAGCGATTTGGTAGAAAGATATCAACCATCGCCAAAACTTCACGGAGTGACTTTCGCCGACTGCTCAGATCGGCCAATAAAATCGCCGATATCTAGCAAGTTGGATAAATAAATGATTGTAAATGTATGAAAATCATATATGAGATCTGCGGTTAAAGAAACGAATATCTAAGCGATCCTCGCAGTAAGGAACACTACTACACTATGATCGATGCCGAGAATCGTTATAGACAAGAACTCAGACAGTGGTCCTCAGAGTGGAGTAATTGTGTTATATTATCGTAATCCTCATTTCATGAAGCGGACCACACTTTAAATCCAAAGTTGATTTTGTCTATAACGATTCTCGGCATCGATCAGGATCGCGATCACCATTTTATGTCTCAAAAAGGACTTGCTTTGATGATCAAGTTTTGTGATAAGAAAAGGTACTCAGCAGTTAAATATGTTCACCATGACTCCACTTGTACGCGCATCTTGTGTCAGGGAACTTATGAAGAGAATGTATCGAGGTCATTTCCATTACTTCAACGGCCCTAAGAGCTATTACCCGAACAAAGTTATGGATTCCTCCCCTCCTCCCAAGCTACCTGTAACGTTGATTGAAGAAGGAATGGCGAGAATGACCCTTGAGGAAACAAGAGAGATGAAGGACTTTGCAACATCTCTAGGGAGAAGTGTTAGACAACATTCTGTCAGGGACAAGAGCAAAAAAGACACCGGCCATCTTCCTTATGCCGTATCGTTTTCCTAAGAAGAACGTGAGCCTTTCTTCCAACGTTGAAACAACCGCTTTGGTAGAGGGTCAAAAGGACGCACAACAGCAAGACCAAGAGCTGCCATTTAATCCGTCGTTACTGCAATTTGAGGTCTATTTCAAATCAGAGGAAGTGATCGCTGTAAGCCTGTAAAGCACAACCGTAGAAGAGAACAGTGGGGTTCTTCCTTGTCCTGCTTTTAAAGGATCCCCTTGCCCAGGAGAGAAGACTCACCTGCTTCAACTTTTGAGGGCTTAATGTACAGAGAAATAGAAATGGCAAACAGTTACAATTAATACAAAGTTGAAAGTTTGAAAGCTGGAAGATATACATAACAATCATCAAACCCATGCATTTTAGCAAAAATGAGTAAATTACCACCATAACTTTTCCCAAATGTTCATGCCTATCGGAAATCATTAATTTTTGCCACCAGGTGGTGCTGTACTTACAAAAGTTCTACCGACACAAATGCATTTTTCTAAAGTTATCTCATAGCAAATGACTGTACAGGTCATGAGAAAGGTTCCTGCATGGGGACGGAAATTTTGATTGATTCAGCAAATTGTAATCATCCGCATTGCGAGCCAAGGTGTATTTACCAAGTGCTCAAGTTTCCAAATTAGTCACCTAATCGTTACAGTCGAGTTTACTCCTTTTTGAGGCTATCTTCAGCTTGATCATCCTGTTACGCGTGAAAACATCAAATATTACTCACATATTCAAATAATTACCTGAATCAAAAGTTATAATTTTTTTAATAATATGCTTCCTTTGATTGTGCTCCAGAAATAGTAAATGGTATTGAGGAGAAAGTAAGTTCTTGAAACATTCTATGTTAAATGAAACTGTCATGAATGTTAATTGCAACAGCAACGAAAACATCTGTGAAGATATAATAACAATTACTCTTCCATGTAAACAGACCAATAACGAAGCGTGATATGTATGAATTTAATCTCACCCAGTGTGACTGTAGAATCCAAAATCTAATTAACTTACCGGTGAATACGAAAAAGCTCATTGTTTTTTCCTGCTTATGTCATTCTAAATGATGATTTAGAATTTGATAAAGTGTAATTCTTTTGACAATGTGTACTTTTTCATCTATTTTTCAGTATCTATCTTTTACCAGCTAAAAGAAGAGAAAACCCAAGTCCACACCGGTAATCTGACACCTTGTAGGCAAACCCTACAACAAATCAAATTTTACTTGATCAAACACATGAAGGGCATTAGAGGAAATTAGCGAGCACAATTCAAGCTTCCCTTCTTCAGTATTCTGTGATCATTTTTCCTCTCATATGGTAAAGTTACAGTTGCCCTTATTTCTCTGTCTTCTGTTCTTTTGTTTGTTTGCTCTCCTAAGACACTTTTACAATGATACGTACACACAACTGACATGTATGAGTAAAGCACGTCAAGCATTAAGTTATGATAGCATTTCCCATGTAAATTTAAACATTGAAGATGTATTACGCTACCAGCAGCAGGTTTTTTTCATTGTAAGTGTATCATAACATGCAGATTCTCATCACATTTTATGTAAAATTTGAAAGCATAAGAATATTTTGATAACTAAGGTAGAATGAAATTCCCCCATTTTAACTTCAAGTCCCACTAGTGACCAAGACAGAATTTCTCCTTATACTATCAGCACGATATCAAGCACACAAGTAATGAGAATAAAAAAAATATCAATTAGGAGATTATTGGTTGATCCAAATCCAAATTCTCCAAACTAACGTCACGTGAATTCTATGGCAGACAGTAAAGAGAGTTACTAATGAAATCTTGGGAATTAAAGGTCTGAGACACATGGTAATCATATATACGAGAAAGACAGCGAATAAATATAACATATTCTCTTGTAAAGTGTTCTTATTTAGAATGAAGTTTCAAACTCATTGACATTAAGTAGACTTCATGATTCTTAATTTAGTTAAAGAAATGTGTAATACCTCTTTTCAAGGATGAAAGAGAAATGCCATTTATGAATTTTAAAATAGTAAATGCCAAAAACTAGGATATGGAATTTAAGAAAACTACTGAAATATGGCATACTATTCACTGAGATTTTAATCATGGAATGAATGGATCCTTCACGCAGATTTGCAGGATTTGATGCCGCGACTATTGCAAACAATCACTTGAACGATTTGGGCGGAAACAACGATGGCAAGAGCTGGAACTTCCCGTCGTACCTCTATCAGAGAGAAATTCAGCCAGTCGAACCGGTCAGCCTCGAGCGCTCTGACTTCGAAGAGCGGCAAGAAAGAAGCGTGAAACAAGAAGAGGAAGATGGAATATTGGAGTACGATTCCCCGAGTCGTGATGATGACATTCCATCCTTGGAAAGAGAGGCTGACAATACCATGTAATTCTTTATTTACCCACACTACATCTAGGAGTGATAAAAACTCGTTAAAATATGTGCGTGAAACAAAAAACGTTAAAAAGAAAAGCAATCATTTAAAGTTACCATTCTTTAATCTATCTAAAAACTTGCTTCTTTGAAGGACATGTGCGAGAAAACTGAGCTTACGATCTAATGTAACACCAAGGATTTTAAGTGTATCATTAGCGTTCACTTCATTGTTATCTACACTGAAGTTATAGCGATATGGTACTTGAAGCGGTTCCCGCTTCAGAAGAAGTATACGCTTCAACAGCAGAATTGTGTTCGGTTAATTTTCTTTATCTCCGTTGCTATGGAACTGTTGTTATTCGTCTCTTTGAAACTGACTTGCCTGTACATACACGTTTGCCCATGATCGAAGTTTAATAAAAGGAAGTCGTTACCGTGACTAGCGGATGTTATTCGTGCAAGACTTTGAAAACTTCTAACATGAACGATATCATCATTTTGGTGAAAAAGATAAATTCACGCCTTACGGTGACTATAGACTTTAACGGATCAATGCTGGTTAAAAAAGTCATTATCCACGGGAAAGGCCTCTCTAAGTTTAGGAAATGGGCTAAGACAAAATTGTATGATCGGGATCGGGAATGGCTGGTATAAACCGTCGGGATTACGGGATTGAGAGAAAATTTTAGTCGGGATCGAGGGATTAAAGAACCCTATTGGGGACTCTCATTTTTAGGTTGACGGTAAAATCATAAGCGATGGAAATTCGAAGGCGGAACTCCTGAGCAATCACTCTTCGAACGCATATATTCTCATGAAGACCTCACTGATATCCCGGTTGTTGGTACCCTTACTGTTACCGTTCCTGGCGTCATTTAGCAGCTAGAATTGTTAAAGCCACTCAAAGCATCTGGTCCAGACGGGATACCTACATGGTTCCTGAAGGAATATGCAAAGGAAATTGACCTTATGCTAGCGGCTATCTATCAAACCTTTATCGAAACTGGGTGCCTCCTAGCTAAATGGAAATATGCAAATGTATGCGGCGTCCACGAGAGTGGAGATAAATCATACCCTGCAAATTATAGACCGATCTCGTTACCATACTTAGCGTCCAAAATTCTTAAACATATAGTCCATAGTCATGTAATGAAACATTTGGAGTACTACGCGATTGTTACCGATGCGCAGCATGGCTTCAGAGCAAAACGATTTACGGTAACACAATTAATTTTGACGATTCACTACATGGCCAAGTCTAATCAAGATGATAAGTCAGTCCATGCTGCTGTGCTATATTTCAGCAACGCTTTTGACAAGGTCCCCCATGATACGTCTCTTAAGAAAGTTACGGCATTATGGTATTTGTTGCCCTATGCTTGACTGGTTTGCGTCTTTCCTCACGAACCGCACTTAGTCAGTCATCTGTGATGGCAAATTTTCTAACCTTATTTAGTTCCACATCAATAACTGAAGATTTGGTATCTGGCAATCCTCTATTCTCAGATAACTTGTAAAGCTTGGATTGAATGTTATGAATCCCCCCTTAAGTTTTATATTTGCTAATTGAAACATTTACCCAAGCTACTGTAAATTACTCGCATTCTAGAACGTCACGCTCACTTAAATGCCAATTTAACTTAGTGGTGAGAAACCGCCTCCGAAATTTTGTTCTCTCTTACAGTCTTTTTTTCTCGAAAGAACTAAATGTTGTGGATATCCGTTCTGAAAATCCTTAACTAGAACGCCTGGTGACATACGATTACCAACGTGTTGCGCTCATCTTTCGGACAACACCTCAAATGACGACTGTCAAACCTCTATCAATATCTAAAGTTTCAAATCTTACAGGTGGACGGTTTGGCGTGGGATGATTGCAATAAAACGTAATGAAGCAGATTTAACCATTTCATAGATTTTCTTTGAATTTCATCGGAAAGTCTTCAATTGCAAATCAAAAACAAAGACGTTTCACAGCCTTAATTGCACCATGAAATTAAAAATAATCTGTTTCGTGGTGACTATGACTTGCGCTGTTCTCGGAAAAGAAGGTACGATTTTCCTTTTATTTTCACTAGAAAAAAGGTTACAGCAAAAGCAAACTGAATTGGATTATATTGGATAAGTGAGCTGAAACTTCATTTCAAACTTTCATTATTTACAAAATCGTTGTTTCTAACCTGCTTCATATCACTAACAGTTATCGGATGAAGTTACTTGTCAAGGTCGAAGAGAAGTGTAGATAAAAGATGAGATGATTTACAAGCTGTCGACATTTTGGCCCAAAGTGCTAAAATATACTATATTGATCCTTCGATTTAGGCATCTTTTTCTGCCAAAACCGAACAATATAAGCAGGTATTCGCTTAGGGTAACTGCGAAATTGTTTTTTACCTTCATTTTGCTAATCAACCCACGGCTCTTCTGTTCCACTGGGGAACTCTGTCTGTTTCTAAATTTATTTCTCTCTTTATCTAAGTGTGAGAAGTATTGTTCTTACCTTTCCCCTCAAATTATTCTGATTCCAAGAAGGATATCACGGAAAACTAGCCTTACGCCTATAAGTGGATAATGGTTAGAAATGCTCTCCTGTTCTCAAACTGCAAACTAACACCTCATTCACACCAGCAAAACATATTTAATTATCTAAGGTTTAACCGAATGAAAATCAGTGAAAGAAAACTAAAACTGAATCTTCCATAATATTCAAATAATCACTAACGTTTCTTTTAGTGCTAAATTTGAAGTCGACAAATATCGTTTCAAACAACCTTTATGTTGACGATAAATTTAAACAGTGTTTAGGTATGTTGATCAAGGGAAAAAAAACATCGAACACCAAATCGATCAAGAATAGTTTCTTCTTATATTTTAGTGTTGAGTTTTCTTTCGTTATCTCCACCTTAGATAACTTGAACCTTAAGCGGAGGGCATAAATTACTCTATATTTCACTCTCTCTTCACGATAAAATACCGTGGTACTTTCTCTTAGAATTATATCACTGCGGAAGAGGTTACCTGTCTACATGAGCAAAGAACAAAGGGTGGAAAACTTGCCTGTAGGTATGCTGATCTAGAAAAAAATCACCATCGAACACCAAGTCACTCAAAAACAGTTTCTTCTTATATTTTCGTATTGAATTGTCTTTCTTTATCTCGACTTAAGATAACTTGAGCCTCAAGCGGAGGGAATAAATTACTCTATAGTTTACTCTCTCTTGAATATATAGACACCGTGGGACTTTCTCTTAGAACTATATCACTGTGGAAGAGGTTACCTGTCTAAATGACACCGTCTATGGGGTTACCCGCGATTTTAACCCCATTTAGAAACACAGGAGTGTTTGAATCCTGGTGCCAAATTCACTTTATTCTTTATTACTTTTGTTCTTATAATAGAACAATGGAATAAACGCCTTCATGCTTTACTCTTGGAAAATCCGACAGCGCGTTATATTGGACACAAGCCACAGCCATAAGATAAAACCCTTTGAACTGATTATTTGAGTTTAAAAGTAGTGAGTGAAGAAAAAAGGGTCACTATCGTACTAAATTTGGTTATATGTAGGTTTTGTGAGTGATGATTCATTTCGATTCGCGGCATCTGAAATGCTACCCTGAATAATGATGATTATTATCTTCTTCCGGCGTTATGGTGCATTTTGCTGTTTTGCTAAAATGGAAACTTCGGCGGGTTAAAATATATTGTAGCCCACTCGCACCCTCGCGTGATTATTCAGACTATTTCGTTGCCATTATTTCAGTTTTCATTTCCTCGATGCCTCCCAAAAGTAATAGTAATAATGATAACAGAGTGTATGTTCCTAGGCATAAATGCATGCTTTGGACCCCTGTCATAACGTATTTATGTCCACGAACATAAATAAGCTCTATTGTTTTGATTTGGTTTGATTTAGTGGCGTATTTTCATAAGCATATTACGTACCTATTTAATGTTATTAGAAAGAAGAATCCCTTCTTTCTCGGGCGGTATGCATGATTCCATAACGACGAATTTAGTCATAGAAAAGCCCAAACAATCCTTTTAGCACGCTTTTGGCATTTACAAAGTCGGTCTGCATTTGCTTTCTTCAAAATCAACGATTTACTAAAGTTGAAAACTCGTTCATTTGTTTAAAAGTGGTGCCTGTGTAATTAAGTAAAACGCTGTCTGAACGCCAACTTCTCATAACTGGTCGGGAGAGATTTCTTGCGGAATAAATTTTGCGTAGAAAATCTGTTTTCGAAGATATTTAGCCTTCTCTAATGGTATCATTTAGTAGGCTTAAGTAACCGGGTAAGTACACGCAAATTTTGAACTCCTGTACACAAGCACATTGTAGCCAATTATAGTAAATTAAATTGTCGTTCCAGTCCTTTCTTTTGATCAGCGAAAAAATATCACCAGTCGCTTTTAAGAACTGTTCCCCTAGGTTTATTTCGCATATTGCTCGCGTGGTGCATGGCAGCGTTTCAAAACGTTTCTCGCACGATCTCAAATTGGCTAGTAAATAACTTGGATGATGATAATCGAAGCCCAAAGTCTGTACACAAATCTTTATCAAAAAAGAGTCAGTTGGCTCCGATCATTATGTACAGATTCATTTTTAAAATATGTTTTCAAAAAGTGCTCATAAAGATGACTTTCTAATTCACTTACAAAATTGGTGCTCCTCAACTCGTTTTAAAATTCTTTAGATATAATTTCTCGGAATATTCAGGAATAACCATGATCCATCAAATAAATGGTGTGTTGAAATAACGAGAGCATTTCGAGCCACCTTGAAAAAGAAGGCAGCAAGGCTGATGGTCGTATTTTAAGATGTCATCATTTTTCTTAGTACTCTATTTTTCACTTTTTTTTTTATTATAAATATACCGATCACGGTTCCTTAACGAATGGTACAATCTTATTAGCAGCGATACTCGCAATTTATTCCATGACCGAAAGTGAGCAAGAGATTTTATAGCCTCTCGTAGTGAGCAGAGTGAGTGGACTGACATTACCTGCTTTTGACGGGGTTTAAATTTTTTTTTTCATTATTTCTCTTCACCTTCATTCATATTATAACAGGTTTTTTAGGAATTACAAGTATTACGTATTTATTGATTTTGTTATCACTCGCATGGATACAAACCGAAATGGACTCCACTCAGTCCCATAAACATTACTTATTATCATAAAGGTAATCATGAAGAAATAAACAAGAATACATTTTAAAAATAGCACAAAATTTTAAATCAACAATCACGCGACAGAAATCTCGAGACCAAATGCTATTGTAAGTTGTATTTATTGTAATATCAAGATATTTGCCTTCTTTGAATATTTCAGACGAAGTTACATTACTGTTCGTGGGAGATATTTCCTTTGCTGACCCCATCAAATACTATGTTGACCACAAGTACCATACGTACAACGATACTTTCAATGACATGGCTCCTTTCATCAGAGAAGCGGACATTTCAGTTGGTAATTTGGAGTCACCATTTGCCAACCAACATGTTCTTACTCACCTTTACCGAGGAAGAAAAACAGTTTTGCTATATGCCATTCCTAAAGCTGCATCAGCGCTCAGGTGAAAATAATAACGGAAACAGGCAAAGTTAGAATTTACTTAAGGAGGAAATCATATACATAGCGCTAAGCAGCGCAGTTTCTTTAGAAACTCGCCCCCTTATCCCAACCTGAATCTTAAAAAAAAAGAATAATAAAAAATTTCACCAATGCGGCAAAAGAATTTCATAACAAGAAAGAATATGAAAGTAACTTGCGAAATATTTTTTTAGCACCGTTTTCAGCCATCTCAGAAGTGAGGAGCTGGTCTAAATTATTCGTTTGCAATGAGAAGTTTTCAAGCCTAGTGGCAGGGTATATATTGCACATACCCGATAGTTATACTCTTGTATCCTCCACAGGTTTGCAGGATTTGATGCCGTGACTATTGCCAACAATCACTTGAACGATTTAGGCGGTGTAGGAGCCAATTTTACCACTAAAGTCCTGGAAAAGACGGGTTTAAAGTATTTTGGAATAAGTTTCGGAAAATATGACTCCTCTCAGGTACAGTAACGAATTGTTTTAAACCCCATTTTCCTGGAAACGAGATGAAAGAATATTTAGCGAAAGCATGGATATTTAATCTCAAACCAATACAACTATTTTATTTGAAAATAAATGTGTTTAACATTTTAGACATCTTAGTTAAGCTTTCAACGTTGTATTAATATCGTGTGACCTGCATATTTTTCATAACCGAATGGATTTGTGAACAGCGAGGTAGCTGCAAATCTTTTCAACGAGACGTATACTATGAAACCATCACAGTTGATAATTATTCACCTGACAGGGTTTAGGAAGGTGTCACAACTATCGGTCGGCTTAACGGGCGATTCACAATTTATCACTTTAGACAAGTGTATTGTAGCTTATTTGCGACATTTGGGTACTCTTAGGGCCAGTCTACATTGAGGCTAGGGATCCCTGAGGTTGGTAAGGTAAACTGCTTAGCCGTGCTTAAAAAATAGACCATGTTTACCATGTTTACATACAATCTTACAACCACGGGATCCCGAGGTAAAGTTCCGAGAGGTTGTTAGTGCGCTTGCAAATGTAACGTGAACGCAACCTTGGCTAGGCGGGTTACCCCATCTTGAGACGTTTATGGGAAAAATTGTGAATGCCTATGACAGAGTTACCTCCCACGGCACACTGGGTAACCCGGCTAAGCAGGTTTCTCCAGTTATTATGTAAACATGATCAAGATAAAATAAGAGGTTAAATATATGAACAGAAGGGTTCAGAAATCTGACCTACCTGGGGTCCTCCACCTCAATATAAACAAGTCCATATTAAATTCCATACAGCAGTATCTCCCGCTGTTAACATTACATTTACTCCTGTTAGATCTTAACAGATACATGTTAAACCAGTTTTAAGCTGATATCAATATTTTTGATGTCATGTTTTAGGAACCTCTCATCATTAAAAGAGACAGAATCACTATTGCATTCCTCGGTTATTGTGCAACGCCCTCCTTAAAGAAAAACTGCAGCGAACTGAGGAAGTTGTTCAACTCGGGTCCCGCCATTTACGAAGATGATATCGCCACTAGAGACGTCAGGAGGCTAAAGAAGGTTTAACTCAAGTTTAATATCTTTATGATCATCAGGGCGGTTTTTAATTGAGTGTCGAAACTGATCCAGGATTACTCTGGTTTTGCTTTACTTCGCTTTGTGATTGGTCCAGAAAATTAGCGCTTCCTTTTAACCAACGAGATTCAACTTAAACCAATCATGACTTGGTTACCAGCGTTTACCTGCGTTTCATGCAGGTTACCTGTTTATACTTTGTGTTCTCATTGAGTAATGATGATTTTGACCATCGCTCTTATTGACTTTTGTGATACCTTTGGTTTTAGTTATCCGAAACTCAACTGAAAATTACACGAACTGAAAGGAAAAAATAATTTATCCACCTTTTCGTATGTAGAAGGGAAAATTCTTAGAATTGTGAATGACATAATTTTCTTCTTAAGCCAGCTTAACATAGCATTTAGGTAAAGAATGAATTGTTATTCAAACTGAGAAAAAATCCAAACAAGAAGAAAATGCCATCTTCTGCGTGCTAGAACCTGCGCCCATAGTTACTAGTTGGACGTTGTTATAACCTGGCCGAACTAAGGTAGCCACGTATTGAGATCTTTGGTGGGCTTGCAAATTTAACCTGTGCGGCTAAAAACATAGTAATAATGATAATATCAACATTCCACGAGTTAGCTTTTTTGTCCGCTGTTTCCATGTCGAATTGGAATTCAGAATGTTGATATTGTGGAGCAGGGAAGACCGGAGGACCTGGAGAAAAACCCTCGGTTCAGGGACAGAACCAACGAGAAACTCAAGTCAGATGTTACTTCCTTATTAATACTGCGCCATCCCTGCTCCCCGAAACAATTTATTTATCATCTACTTCGAGTTTTAACTTGATTTCTATGCATTTCATATCATCATCTTTTATTTGATACAATAAGGATCTATCCTTCTAGTCATTCCATAACATGTCTGTTGACTAGTTATACTTTGTTTTACTTCCCTAGGCCAAAGTTGACATTATAGTCGCTTTCATGCACTATGGTAGAGAACTCACTTTAGGACCCGTCTCCTCCCAAAAGCACATAAACAAACACCTGATGTCTCTTGGGGTGGATATGATCATTGGAGCTCATCCACACGTTCTTCAGGATCACTGTCTTCAAGATAATAAACTTATCGCTTACAGCTTGGGGAATTTTCTTTTTCATACTAACCAACCACCTAGTGCTGTTGATCCGGTAACGCATTCATATGGTTCATTTAGTGACTACATGTACCTCTTGACTGAATGGAAAGGCCGTGTAGGAAAATGTTTGGGTGGTTGACATGACGTAAACATCTCGCCGTACTCGATCCTTACGGCCTCTCCCCAAATATTTCAGTCTTTCCCGAGTATGGGAAAAGAAAAAAAATATGAAAGTCTCGTGTAATGATTCGAAAGTCGGACGTTCCTATTTAAGACCGAACATCCAAATGAAAGGAAAAGAACTATTCGGCAAGCCAGGCCACACTAACTTCATTTTTGGGAAACTAGCTTCGAGAATACTGTTCAGATCGGCAATATAGAAAGCGGCTTTTTTCTTGTAAAGATGTAGTAATCAAGGTGAAAGGCTTTAAACTCGCTTTTTGGAGAAAGATTTGAAGAGATACGTTTTATCTCTACCTACTGCTATATTCCAAAGAAAATTACTCTTTCAACATCATACATAATTTATCATTTCCTCGCGTTCATTTCCCTTTCTTCCATACTTCTCCCTTTCTGTTTTCTTTTCTTTTTTTGTTTTTTTTCGTACTTGTGTGTTTATCGTTTATTTTCATCGCTCCTTCTTGATTTGTGTTTGCAAGCTTGACTAAATCCTCAACGGTACTTCCAAGTTTCTATATCCATGTTCAATTTATTTTTCAGAACGTTTACGGAAGATTTGGCAAGAAACCCGATAAACAATTTATTAAGAAATATGAGCACTTTGTCCTTGGGAACTGCGACGCGTTGAAACTATCCCGGATGCTTAAAGTCACCGTTTCAAGGTATAGTACCACTTTGCATCTTATTTTTCCAGGGCTTCTTTAAACCACAATCAAATTTTTCATCTTCAAGCATTAATTTAAACAAAAAGAAAGCGGTAGTTTGAAATCTGAAAGGTGCATTAATGTTAGCTGCTACGATACCTTTGTCCATGGAGAGAAATCTGAAGATAAGTGTAGGGATTAAAGAGCGATACAGGAAGAGTGAGATAGTTATGAAAAAGGATGTTTCATATTACCAGTCTATGTCTGTAAACTGTTGTCAGATATAGGCAGTGAAAAGAATCATCAATCGTTGATCGGACACTATTTGAGTATATTGGGTCCGAAGGAAACAAATAACGTTTTGGTTAATAGGGTCGTTTCAGTTAAAAAAGTGCCAACACTTTTAAGTAATATAACAGGGCTTTTTTTTAATAGAGTGTCAACTTCGTGAATACATGTACAGAACAAACTAGTTTTTTAGTGATACAGAAAAATATAAAGGTAATAAGGATATCATACAAAGAAACAAAATTGTCTGAAAACGAGAGAATATGAATAGTTGATATTCTTTTGATGAAAACTGGCAAATGGATCTGGAACAATAGCTGAGATGTAATATCACAAGACAGCAGTACTCTAGATGTCTATGTACATCTCACTGAAACAGCGTGTCTTTAAAATCAGCGATATTTTTAAATGAGACTTTCTCGCGATTTTGATCGGAATAATCAGTTACAAGCAATCATTTCCAATAAGGGCAAAATAGTTTGTATATTTTCAATTTCTTTCATTTTCATTCAATCATCTCTCTTTTTAGGAAAGGAGTCGTGGGAGCAAAGTATCTTCCACTGAAAGTCGCTTTCGATAAAAAAAATAAACGACTGCACCCTGAGCCCACAAAGAACGCAAAATGGATCACTGTATGCGGAGCTGAAGATCAACACTGTAAATGTCTCAAGAATTAGGATCAAATTTCTCTGAAAGAAGTCAATCTAAAAACACTTTAACTTCGATATAGTATTTAACAATGTTATAACTTATTTCGTCTTCAAAAATACATTTTACTTGACGCGAAAAGCTGATGAAGTGTCAGCAGTTTATTAGCGATATCAAACACGCGTAAAAAATTAGATAACGGTTTTTTCTAAGTCCTCGTTAAACACCTTGTAAAACACCACATTTTATGTAATAAAGTATAGTTAAATTCTCTATGTTCTTTGTCATCGACCTTGACAATGCAACCTCTCTCCTTTCATAGGGAAGAAATATAACCCTATGAGTAATTAACTAATTATATATAAGGCGCTTGCTAGCTACTTTTCTGGTCGCAATGATCTCGTTGCGACATTGGCATTTATCGTCCTCAGCTCCACAGACTTCAATCCATTGAGCATTCTTTTCAGGCTTAGGGTGAAGTCTTTTGGTTTTGTGATTAAATTTGATTCTAAGAGGCAAATACTTTGCATTAACCACACCTTTCCTACGAAATGAAAATAAAGAACATTATTTTAAGATTAGTGAAAAAAAAATGAATTGAGCCACATTTTCCAGCATGAAGTCTATTTCTAAGGAAAACAATTCTTTCATTGTTTGAAAACAATTAATTAAATGAAGAATAATAAATAGCTGTGACTTGTACCTTGAAACGTTGACTTTGAGCATCCGGGAAATTCTTAAGTCGTTGCTATTTCCAAAGGCGTAATGCTCGTAGGACTCAATTTCAACTTCACACGGCTTTTTGCCAAAACCTCCATACACAATCTTCGAGAAAAAAAGAGAGCAATGCATCAATTGACGGGCAGGAGGGGAAAAATGTTTTGCTTGCTAAGAAAGTTATGAACAAACCAATTAGAAATCAGGGATCCGACCCTCCGACCCTCCGACCTTCCGACCCTCCCCAGGGGGGGAGGGTCGGAGGATTTTGTCGTGTCACCCTATCACAATAAAATTTACCAGAGTCCTCTGAGGTTCTGTAATATCCTTATGGTATGCCCTTTTGTACTCTGTTAGCGACGGCTGATAGCTTCTCCCTTCCCCTCTAAAATCCATGTGATCCTAAACCTCCCCCTTAGGCGATAAATAGTAGCTGGTCCACAAATAATTTATGAAATAAGATGCAGGATGGCTATAGGTGGGAATAGAATAATAAAAATATACATGAATTAAAACACAAGAAGAAAAAAGAAAAAGGGAGGAAAAGAATTAGTAAACAGGTTGAACGGATAAATACGTAACTGGATTGCTTCCCCGTCTATAAGGACACGGATGAAATAGGAAATTCCCCAAGCTGTCCTCAATAAGCTTGTTATGCTTGACACAATGTCCCTGTACCACGTGCGGATGGGCTCCAATGATTATATCCACGCCGAGAGACAACAAGTGTTTGTTGATATCAATCTGGTAGGGGAGTGGTCTTAAGCTCGTTTCTATTCCATAATGCATGAATACAACTATGATGTCAACTTTAGCCTTTGAAAAAAATAGAGTAGCGATGTTGAAATTGTACGTTTTTATAATCCATCAAATAGTTTTTCTCGCACGTGACTGATCTAAACGCATCACATGATCGAATATACCCCGGATAAAACTGGGAAATATCTGAGGATATACCCTAAGTAACATTCCCCAATTCTGAAACCTTACGTCTACTATGATGGAATCATTCGTTTCAAATTTAAATCAAAATGAATGAGCGTTTAACTCTTTTCCCAGAAAAGCGACATATTTGAATGTTGGAAAAATCGTACTGTACTACACTGAAAAGTTCCCACACGTTGCAAAAACATTTGAAGCATAATAAACAGAATAGCTTATATTTGAAGCGAAAAAGTGTTCTTAAAAATTTTTCTTTGGACATTCTCTGTTCATCGAGACTTACTCGGAATAGATAGCAGGCGCGGACAAATACCCGAGTGCATTTTCGAGCTAAAAGGAAGCTATTGTTTATATAATTTTAGCCTCCCGCTTACCAGAAAGGTCCTCGCGAATAGCTACTTGAGATGTATTTTTCGAGGCTAATGCACCGCCAAAATTAACGCGCACACAAACTTACTTGAGTCATTATGGAAAAAATGGAAATCAAATCATTTTGACTTCGTCGATTAATAAATCACCATTTATGGTAGAGTTCTAAGTTCTAGATAACCAAAAATTGGACTGGTGAGAACGTCTTAAAAGCTGGAATTATTTATGTTAAGTTTATCTTTAGCACTGCGGTTGAAACCTTTAACTTGTTAACGTCCCTTGTGGCAACGTCATCTCGATAAATGGCAGGACCAGAAGTAAACAACATTCTCATTTGAGAGCAATTCTTAAAAGGCGATGGCATGTCGCAGTAACCGAGAAATCCAAAAGTGATTCCTTTCCTTTTCATAATGAGTGGTTCCTAAAGAAATGGAAAATTGAAACCAATCAAAAAGTTACGTGAAAAGTTGCCAATACGAGTTTCTAGGGGTAGATAGTGGATAGGATAATCTTAAACTGTATGATTTGAGTTTTCAGACTGACAAGAACAATATGGTGTAACATACAGAAATTTAAAGCCAGTTATTTTCTATGTACCTGAGAGGAAAGATAGTCGCCAAAACTTATCCCAAAGTATGGTATTCCTGTCTCTTTAAGTACTTCCGCAGTAAAATTGGCTCCTTCGGCTCCAAAATCGTTTAAATGATTATTGGCGAGTGTTACAGCATTAAATCCTGCAAAACTACAGGACGAACAAACTGTCAAGACTACGTGCACTTAAGAACAGTTGTAAACTGACTTAACTACAACTTTAGCCAAAACGGTATGATTTTTTTTTTAATGTGAGAACTTTTATTAGGGGTTGGTGTTATTGAGCAAAATTTAGAAAAATAAACAAGCTGTCACAGTCGTGAAATTCGTCCCTCTGAACCGATTATAGCAGAATACTGGTGGAGTTATACGACACGGACGACGTTACTATCGAGTCTTTTATAACTTCCCAAATAGCTGGTAAAAAGAAAATAACCACAAAAATGTTTCATTTTTCCAGTGAGTAATTTTGTGTCATTTTGGGTTAACCGTAACCGTAAATTAGCCAAACTTTTTACTGTTAGCCGTAGATGCTATCACCCCATTGAGACCCTCCATTACGTGTCGATATATGTGTGAGGTCAAGATGGCTGGAAATTGACTGAGTTATTTTTTTGCGTTATTATGAACCGAGAGGAAGTCGAGGTCTATAAAACACAACAAAAGAACGATGGGCAAATCTTTCCCGCTCAGATAGCCAATTAGAACGCAGGATTTCCTTCATATTTCTCTTGGGCACTGCCAGCGATATCGTAATAAAGCTATAATAACCACAACTGTCGGTCATTACAAAGGCTGATAGAGCAAGGAAGAGAAGGTTTCCCACACCAACAATTAATACAACAAAATGAATGAAGCTAATTCAATATCAGATTACTTTCAACACTTCTAATTAGCTTGTGTCACGATAAAATTTATCTGATCCACCATGAGGTTCTATAATATTCTTATGTTTCTCCCCCCCCCCCCTCCGTCAATTCTCCATATAGTAGCCCCCTTTCCTTATGCTTTGTTGGCGTCGTCTGATTTGTTCCCCGTTTCCCCTGAAAACAATGACAAGAGAGAGTAATTGGATCCTCTCTTAATGTAAATACTGGTCTCTTACTTAACAATTTTTCTATAAGCGTCGCCCGGCGAGGGATTTATGATAAATTCATCTTGTATACCTCAGCGATGATGCAGCATCCTTGTTAGCACTGAGTAGAACTGTCTTTTCACCTTTGAACATGTGGGTATAAACATCTCCGTTGACGAATGGAGATTCCAAATTACACACAGATATATCAGCATCTCTGATATATGGAGCCACTTCATTGAAAGAGTCATTGTATGTGTAATGCTTACGCTCCACGTAATATTTAACCGGGCCAGCGAAATAAATATCTCCCACGAAAATCAAGGATACATGCTCTGCAAGTAAGAAAGGACGAAAAAATGCTTAGCCTTATTAAGGCCGCTTATCGATACGAATAAGATAAGAGTGAAACCTTAAAAGGCTTCAAGGGAAATTTGAATTTGTACGCGTTAAGAACAAGGCTTTGTACTATGTCTAGGGTATAGTTACAGAAATTATTTGACTGATATCCAGTGAAGATCGATTTTGGTCGAGATGAGCGCTTGGTCTGTTTTAGAAAGGGTGCGATTCATCAGAGTTATCGATTCTATGTCAATCCATGGTTTGGTGACTCATGGGCGGGTAAACAGTTTTCTGAAAGACTTCCATTGTGCGTTAAATAAATTTAGTGATAACTGAATTATTTGGAATTACCATTAATGTTTAGTTCGAATTCTTAATTGTTGGTCAGGAGCACGTTTTTAGAGTTTGGTTACTAAAATTATGTTATGTGTCTTACCTTTATTCCCGATAACTACACTTGGTAAGGAGATCGCCAAAAAGATGACTACAATATTCATGACACGATTATTTTAAAGTCAGGCCGGAAATGTAAAATGTTGTTCACTATAACGGTAGCTATCCATCTCTCTACCGCTTCATTTCTCTATGTAGTTTGTTGTATTGTTCATTCAGGTCAGAAAATATTCTCTCCGGCTGAGGCCAGGAGTGAAGTGAAGTTTTACATTATTGATTTTGCTGCTTGCTTCTCCAAGAGGTCTGTAGCTTCATGAATATTTAAGAACAATTCCCGGCTCTTGAAGACAAACACCTGATTTTCCTCCACGGTCGGTGGGGTTTGATTGTTTAATTGCTGTGGTAAATTAGTTATTAGTATCTTTATTTGTATTTTGTAAGAATTTTTTTACGCCTATTTCGTGCGTCTCACACCCATTAATTTACGCTTGATCTTTTGATTTTTTCACGTGCCGTTCATGCACCATTAATTTCGCGCCTTATGTAAATTACGCCACCCTTTCTATCTCATGTTTCACCCACCTTTTTAGCAGTGTGTTTAATTTTTGCTTCTATGTAAGCCTTTTCTCTGCAGGTGTTTCGTGTTTTCCCTCAGCATTTGGTAAGTTTTGTCTCGTCGCATCTTGGTATTTAATTTTTCCTCCTTATTTGTTAAATAGAGAATAGTACCTAAGCGCACATACATATATATGGTATATCTCTTTGAGTGTTCAACCCACTCTGATTCAAAATGACTTTTAAAATGGAAATGGCCTCCAGCTGACGTGGGCTTACAGTGATAGTGAAAGTGTCACCCTTTGTCTGACTATTGTGCTACATCAAAGTGACCAATTGCGTGTGGTCCGCTATTTCTTTCATATTTTTTTAATTTGGATTCGTTAATGTCCACGTTTTGTATTTAGTTCATCATGACTTTCTGTGGCTCTTAAATTTTACTTGTTCGACTACACGATACATTTCAGCTATTTTAGCTATTTAGGTAACAGGCAAGTCCATGCACTTTGACCACTCTGTGTTCTTTTATAAGAGATATACCTCCTCTTAGAGAAGCAAAAATAATTACAACGCAAATGATAATCTCCAAAAGCCTCCTTGAGATAAAGTTTCAAGGACAATCATGATTTTCCAGAAAATTGTTACGATAATTAAGAGAAATAACTTCAGTGTCACCACTGATATTAGGATGCCATAGAGAGCTGTGTTCAACGAAAACAAAGAAATATATATTTGCTCGAATGTAAAAACAACAAAGTGGTGAGAATGTCGGGGAGGGCAAAGATTGAAATAGGTAAAATAGAATTAAAGAATAGCCGATTTTCTAGTTTCATCGTGATGTCAAGGTATCTAAGGATAGAATTGCTGACGTAATTGTGTACTTGGACTAACTGATGTGAAAATAATGAATAGTTTAAATGAATATTTTCACCATTATGAAGTTTGATTGCGCGTTGAGTCTTGAGTCTTATATTTGTGTGATGAAAAGCTCTTGCGTATCAATGATGATACTGATGATACAAGTGTTAAGAAATAGAGGAATCGAGGATGACTGATAGCAATATCACGGTACACATTGCGTAAATATCCGCCTTTTAAGCCTCTTTAACCAGCATCCAATAGGAAACGTTGAATTTTGTAAGAAAACAAACAGACATGCATGAATAGACGTACTAAAATTTTCCTGTTGATTCTCAAATAATTCTTTGACCTTCTAAATCACCTTGAAATCAAAATGGAAAGCTCTTTCAAAATCCTCGCTCTGGAATTTACGAATATGTTGAGAAAAGTATAGGAGGACCCAGTTGTCAAACCTATTTCTTCCCTCCAATGAGGATTAGAAGGAAGCTAATGTCGACAGCTGCCGTTTTTACAACCACACCCAATTTCATCTCGAACTGATCAGCCTTGTTTACGCGAGTCCCACCCTAATGTTCCCTGCAAACTATTCAAACGCGTGAATAACTTTTCTTTCCTGTTATACAAAGCATAATGTTTTTTCATACAAAGCATGACGAGTGAAAGGGCGCTCATAGGAAATGGATAAGACGAGAGGAAAAACTGAACAAAAGTGGTTGGTTCGTTATCAGTTAAGAACAAAATTTTTCTAACGTTTTATTAAGCCATGGGAGGATTAATAAGTCTTATCCGAGACATAAAAACAGTCTACAAGGACCTCAAGGTAACTTTAAAGCTCACCGCTAGAATTGTGCTGAAAGTTCATAGTATTGTGGAAGATGTGGAGCAGACAGTGCAAGAACTAAAAGCAACCGTGAAAAAATTGACATCTAGGGTCCAGCCTCAAGATGGAATGAGTGAGATACCGATTGAAGCGTTGGTGGAAAACGTCGAATCGAAGGCAATTTCTCTAAAAACCTCCCTTATTAATGCCACCAGTCAAGTGTTTAATGATGATCTCCTTAGAAAGACTCAAGAGAAATGGAATATGGTTATGCAGTATTCAAGGGAAAGTAGCGAAGCTTTGGCAAACATTGTTGCGAGTTCTTCATTGAATGTTAAAGGAAAGAGACACAGCGCTGCCGAAAAGGTAAACAGTTCAGAACAATCCATCTTCCTCTCGGAGCTCGCAAAGAATGACTCACAAAGCGAGCAGGAGGGTACTTCCGACGCTGATCGAGCAGTAGTCCCCGTTTTCTGTGAAGAATTACACTACAGTCTTGACGAGGAAGAGATTCGGGATTTCGAGATTTTACCGCTCGATGTGATGGACAGCTTTTGGAAATGTGACATTGGATGCATCAACATTGACTGTGTTGATTTTCACCAGTTAGCAACTAGCCATCAGGCTTCCACCTCGCTATCAAGGAAAAAGAAATATAAAAAACGCAGCAAGAACCAAGCAAAATTTGTTAAAAGGTCTGCCTCTGGATTTGGTTCATCAGGTAAGATATCATCAAGAGAGAGCAACCAGTCACCAGCAAGGTATAACCCGCGCAAAGGTTCCAAGCAACGGAGGGAAACGGTCGCATTAGAGCTAATTTTTTTAGCTGCTGTTTTAGTGGAAGGCTTAGCGCTGTCAGATAGCAATGTTCCAGTTGGTGAAAATATGTGGGGCGAACGTATTCGAAGTAGCTGGAGTCACTCGGGCGAAATTATCGAGCTGGATGACTAGCTAAAAGTTCAACATACGATACGGGTACTTGTAAAGAAAACGGCGGGTGTCAGTCACCTGTACGAACAGGTAGTCAAAAACCGAAAATGCCATCAAACGTTAATCACCAAGAAGAAAATATTCCAGTTTTCAACTGAGAATTGGAAAGTAATCATAAATCGTAATTTTTTCCCGTCATTGCTCTCTTTTCTTGACGTAAGATAGGAACCAAACAATCAGAAACAGTTCACAGCTAAGTCTATTTGCGACTTTCTCCCGCGATTAAGATTTGCATAATTTATTTCCGTTTTGTTGTAAATAGCCCCTTTGACTGGTCCGTTGACTGATCGAAAGTTGTGCCGGACAACTTTCGACGATGTTTCACCTAACTCCTCTGGTAAACTCGCTTTATTTCACGAGGCAAACTCGGAAAGATGGCTAAAACTTCCAATGGGGTGAAAACTACACATTCCAAAAGCAAAGCCCTCCAAAAGAAATCTTGTTCGTTGCTCATAGGGTTGCTCATAATGATATCTTACTTTTTTAATATAGATTTTCTTCTTAAGTTAGATTTTTAGGTTTTTCCATGGGAATTGTGAGAGTAGCGAGGGGGAAATTCTTTCTAACCAGATCCATTGTTTTTAATAAGCCAGACATAAAGCATTCTTAACTAAGTATAAAAATTCCACCGTACTCATTTATATTGACTCGATTTGTATGGGTTATAATTTATCACGCTGAGACAATGAGTAATAAACAACATTGATCATGGACTGGAAATAATTTGCCTGCTTTATTTCATAAATGAAGGTATTCACAATCACACATGAAGTAATTCTTCTCTTTAGCCGCCATTAGAACTGAGCACTACTGTCCGATCTTAGACACTAGTTAGTGCGCGATTTCTAAAAACAATAGCATGCCGGACACTGGTGTCTAAAATCGGACACTAGCGTCTGAAATCGGACAAGAGTGTCTAAAATCGGATAATTCTTCCTACAATCGGACACTAATCTCTAAAATCGGACATTGGTCTCTAAAATCGGACATTAGTGTCTAAAATCGGACAGTAGTGTCTAAAATTGGACAATAGTGTCGTCTATCGGACATTAATGTCCAAAATCGGACACTAGTGTCTAAAATCAGACGAAATTGTCTCTAATTGGACAGTTCTGTCTAAAATCATACACCTGACTTAAAGGAAGATGCATGCCAATTAATCCAAGCTCTACGACGAAATACGAGACCTACGCTTCCTTGATTCAGGTTTGATGTCATTGACTAATTGATATATGTACAGGCAAGTTTTCTCACAGTTTGCGTGACAGCTTGACTTTGACCCAGACCCTTCTGTTCCCTGTGCATGGTAACATTTTAGACCAATACCTTTCTCTCGTATCGCCCCTGCTGCGCAGAGACAAGGACGGTTTATGAACTTCACAAGTGTTGAATGGGTTTTCCACTCCCTCAGTTTTCTCTCGCACCAACACCCAAATATTACCTGCTACACGAAGACAATGAAAACTCGTAAACTGACAAATATTGGGTGAAAAGCTAAGATTGGAAACAGGGCGAGATTTCTTATTATTCAGGATTAGCAAAAAAAATTAACCTTTTTAAATTTTGCGAGTTCTCGAGATTTACGAATTATGGATTCCTATGTTTTCACTAGCGGATGTGATGAGATAATAAAAAAACATTTCCATCATTGTCTTTTCAGTTGTTAAGTCCCTGAATGAAACACGCAAAAACAATTTTGGAATGAGGAGTATGAAAGTCATTTTATTGATGATCAATTTTTTTATTTTCTTGCCATGTGCCATACTGGCAAACGAAGGTAAGTTTCTTTTCATTTTCCTCGAGTAATTTAGATTCCAGCTATACAAAATTTTGTTTGCTTGGATAATATGGCGTAAATATTTTTTGCTCGAAATAGCAATTTTTTCGGAGCCAATGAGGAAGCTTTACTAAAATACAACAGCCAAGTCCTTGTTTAAAGAAACCAATCAAATTGCAAGGAAATTAGAAAAAACTTTTGCAATTTTCTACAAACCAGCTCACTACCAGGTCAACAAAACATTCGTACAGACTAAAAACTCCTTTATCTGAGCGACTGAATTTTGCGATTTCAAAGATTTTAAGTAGTTATTGAACTTCGTGTCTTGCAATTTTAGTCTGAAATCATGTTTATGTTTTCAAATATAATTCGTGCTGTGCACTCCTTTGACTTAAAACTCACACATATGATTTCAGACCAAATATGAAGACAAATAAGTTCAATTACCATTATTAATTCATGGTTGCCTTTTTTTCATCAACCTGATTTTTCGGAAATAGTTAGATCTGATATATAATCACATTTTGTTCTGAAAGAATTCATGCAACACGGACATAAAAAGTAATTTTTATGAACTTCGAAGTGCCATTTTCCAATTCTTGGACTTCATCGTTGTGAATATCGAATTTCTTGGGAAAAAAAAGAACTAACTATGATTTCTGTATAGACCAGGATATAATTGACTATGTTTACCCTTAGAGCACGTCACGTTGCTGTTTGTGGGTGATGTTTCGTTCGCTGGTCCTGTGAAATACTACGTTGAACACAACTATCACACGTATGAGGACTCTTTCAGTGACGTGGCAGAATACATCAAGGATGCTGATATATCCGTGGCCAATTTGGAATGTCCTTTCGTCGACAAAAAGGTTTATCGTCACATGTTCAAAGATAAGAGAAGGCTGACGATTCTTTATTCCAGTCCCGAAGCTGCTCCAGCATTGAGGTAAACAGAGAGCTCAGAACAATTTTCAGTTGAGCATAGGAAATGGTCTGGGATTGTATTGGTTTAGCACAGTTTTTTTCACTCTTTGACTAGTCTAGAAAATTTGCGCCATCCCCTCAACCAGTCAGATATAAAAGTCAAACCAGTTGCCATTTAAATTTTTCACCCACGTTTTCCTGTGCCTTATGCAATTTCCTCATTCCTAAGTCGAGTAGTTAATGGTAAAGCTTTACTTTTCTTCAGGTTGAAGTCTGCGTTTTAAGAGCGTCTGTGTTCAAAATTAACTTATTATCAAAAGGCAACATCTAAAATCGCAGAGTTCCTGCGAAAAAGTATTCAGAAAAGGAAACCTGCGAGACACACATGCGACCTCATAATCTTCATTTACGCAGCGATTTACCACTTCCCGTAAATTCTAGACACAAACGTTTTCATGGCAGTCTTCAATTCATACTATGTTTAGAGTGATATTTACATCAATAACTTTCGACGTTCCACAGCTATGCAGGCTTTGATGCTGTCACAGTTGCCAACAATCATTTCAACGACTTCGGCACTGAAGGTGCTAATTTCACCGTTGAAATTCTTAAGAAGGAAGGAATAAGATTTTTCGGCGTTACTTATGGGAGATTTGATTCATCTCAGGTAGTTCCATATCAATAATGATTCTTCCTTTAATGAAGTATTTACTACCATGTTACAAGCTTAAGCGCGTCGACTTCACATACACAACAACAAAATGGGCCCACAAAAATATTTGTCTAATTACTTAACCTTTTAACTCCTTAAATCTGATTGCTAATTCTCCTCTCTAGCTACTGCACATTTTCTCGTAAATAGGTCAAGAGAATTGGTGTCAGATCAATATAACAACTTAAATATGATAATTTCGATTATTCTCATTACCTGTTGGCTGAATAATGTATGGATTTTATGGGGAGAAGCTACATGATAACCACTTCTGGGAGATAAGGGGTGAAAGGGAAAGTAAAATTCTCAAAAGCACTTGTTGTATTTCCTCCAAAAACCTGTGGCTAAAACTTTGTTAACTATACGGACATCCAGGGAGGCGTTTCGAGAAAAAAATTCAAGATTACAATGTAGTTATATTAGTAACCGTTATGGGTAAAATATCAACTTGTTATGATCGCTAATTTTCTTCAAAGGAATTGAGATAAACTTGTTTAGAATTAGGAGACCTGGAAAAAGAAAACAATTACGATTCAGATATTTTATTCGGTGGATTATTTCTAGGAACCTTTGATAATGGAAAGAAAAGGAATAAAAATAGGATTTCTTGGATACTGTGACCATGTACCAGATTTCCCAAACTGTACTGTGATGAGAAGGATGTACAAATCTGGTCCTGCTATCTATCGGGATGATATTGCCACAAGAGATGTTAGAAAAATAAAAGAGGTGAGAACTCATGGTTTTAAGTTTTGACAAGAGATTATAAACTAATGATAATTTCTTGGTTTTGATCGTTGCAAAGTCCCACTTACCATCTGATGTTGCGTGAGCTCAAGTCTCAACCCACACTCGAAAGTTTTCAACTATTCCTATACGATGTTATTAATATTAATATTATATTAAATTGAATTATCATAAGTATAAAAAGAAACTAAAGATGACCATGAGAAACTATTAAATATAATGACTCTTCGTTGGGTTTTTTTTGCTTCAAGACCTTATTTAGTTAAGTTTTTGATCATTTTATGAATTTTAGAGAGAGGGAAAAGATTAAGTTTGGCAAGTAGGTGTTTTCAGTAGATGTATCTATTACTCAATCAGAAAAAAGATTTCGTGGCCGAGTTATTGATTTTCATAAACATTGCAATCTGAATTGCGATCGAGCTGACTCAAAGTTGAAATTTTACCTTCAATCAGAGTACAAAGAACGCTTACAAATTTCTCTTCATCGTCAGCTTAATTCTTAAGTCAGTCCCGAGATAAGAAACCAAAATATTATACAAGAAAAAAGTACACATACAGCCAGCGTGAACTAAAACTGGGTTCTTTCTTAACTGTTACAGGCTGGCGTGGATATCATCGCGGTATACATGCACTGGGGAAGAGAAGTGCTTTTGAAACCGCTCGATTACCAACTTCATATAACAAAGCACCTTTGGTCTCTTGGAGTCCACATGATCATTGGATCACATCCGCACGTGCTGCAACCTCACTGGCTGACCAAGGACAACAAACTTGTGGAATACAGTCTAGGAAATTTCTTGTTTCCTCCTTTGCGTCCAATAGGTGGAAACAACCCGGTAACGAGCCTTTTTCTTTTGATTTAGAGAACACCTTTGATGTCAATTCATTACATTGAGAGCATTAACGTAAGGAAATAATCATTTTAAGATAATTGAGGAAAAAAATTAGATGGCTGAGTTACAATGGTGGTGGGCTGGTGGTCTCATTTATTGTAAGTACTGGCGATTCATAGGAGACAAAGGCTTTTTGATGAAAAGCATATGGATTTGTTTGATTGACAATGTTTGTTTGTTTGATCTTAACTAAGTCCAATTTTGTACGCAGTTAGTTTACGGTGGAAGGGGTTTTAAACCAAATCCTCGCTTGATTGAATCATATGAGTATGTCACTTATGAAGTAAGAGATATGCTGAAAATGAGCCGGATGTTGAGAGTGACTGTCTCAAGGTAAAGACATTGTTTTCAATGGTACTAGAAAACATAAATCCCTAAAATAGAACTCTTCCATATGACTGGAACACAAATGCCATTTAACTGATGGGCCATCCGTAATAATATAAGAACTAACTGGTTTGGCGATTGGGCTGACATATTTCTTGAGTTACTTTACCATTCAGACCGCAACTAAGAGTAATTACGGCAAGGGACTGCAAAGAAAAATTCTGATGTTGTTGCCAGGATTTTAAAAATACCTGTTCGATCGAAGATAATCCATTTTTTTTAAATTATTTTGGTTGATCAGATATTTACCTCCAAATCCCAATTACACCACAATCCTTTCCAAAGCTAACACGCTGTATTTCCCTTCCAATCTTAACATATAGTTTTGTTTCATTTTTCTAGCGTAGACAGTGTGTTGTTTTCGATCCGATTAACCCGCGAGCAGGTTTACATTATTCATGCTTCGGCATGAGCTCTTCTTCGCCCGCAGGAAAGTATGAAGCCTCTGGCAAGGCGAGCCAGCGGCAAGGCTGCATTGGGTCTAGCACTAACTATTAGAGCTAAGCCTCAAGCAAACCTTCCCCTGACTCGTCTTCAATCTTCCCGCGGGCGGAGAAACGCGCGTCCTGCAGCGCTAATAATGACCTATTAGCTAAACTGCTGTTCATTTGAGCATGGTATTGACAGTATACATTGAACGTTTTCGTTGTTTGTATATCGTTATGTAGACATGTTATGCAGGATTTTTGTTTCTTGTCCAAGGTCATGCGTTATGCGAGTGATGTTAGTCAATCTTTTGAAATTTAATTTCATCGCGAGAAATTCACTTAATATGTAAATAAATGTGCATAGAACACTCTAATAAGAAATTGACTGTTGAGTTTTTCAATCCAACGTGATTTTGGAAGGAGTAGGGCTTATGTTCATTTATAATGATAACTGCATGTGTGCATGTAAAAAAAAAAGCATTTTAATACACCACATTTCAGTTTCCTTCAAAACGCATGGATTATTTACATCACTAAGATAAATTGTTGTCATTTTTCAGACATGGTATAGTAAAAGCCGAATATCACCCCATGAGACTTGTATTTAATCAGAAAGAAAAGCGACTTCATCCTGAACCTGAGAAGCACACAAAATGGTCTACTGTTTGTGGAGATGACGAAAAGGAATGCCAGAACTTAAAAAGACTGGAAACTGGAACTGGAACTGCATAACTCTTAATTAGAAGAAAATAATGATATAAATAGCGTTATTACGACTCTGAAAGCAAGAAGAGTGTTATGTAGACCTCTGCGCCAAGCCGAATAAATTTTACAGCTCCCTTGGTCACCAACTTGTACCTGTGGAAAAACGTTAATTTTTTAAAGTTTTATCAACCATGCATGATATCCATGGCTCCTAAAAATCTAGATTCTCCCGTAGAGATCGCTTCACGCCTTCGGCGCTCGATTCCAGTGTTTGAGAGAGCGTTCTGCACGTGAATGTTCCCGCCGTCTCACTTCGGTCCCTATTCAAAAGAAAGGAGAAAAGTGGAAGCTCGTCATCTTTCTTCGTTCTATCAATTTCCCCTTTGGCTGTTATGTATCTCTTTAAAAGCAGTGTTGCATTTATATATATACTTCTATAAACATATGACACACGAAAGTGAGGTTGATTGGTATTCAATAAAGATGTGCACATCTCTGTTGTGTTTGAACCAACTTGAATATATCTTTGCGCCGTCCGTTTTCTTCCTTTCTTGTTTTAAAGACTGCCTATTCTTCGTTTGCTCCTTCCACCCCAAACTACAGGAGGTATGTAAAAGTCTGTTGAATTTTTACAGTGTGGCAAAAAAGAATTGTCACCCTTAACAAGTGGGTGACAAATGATGATGAAACAGTTACCGGTACACCTGTTTGTCAATGTCAAAGGGTCTATATGGGTTATTGTTTTTGCTGTTAATGTCTTTGCTCTGCCGTCTGTTTTCTTCCTTTCTTGTTTTAAATACTGCCTATTCTTCGTTTGCTCCTTCCACCCCAAACTACAGGAGGTATGTAAAAGTCTGTTGAATTTTTACAGTGTGGCAAAAAAGAATTGTCACCCTTAACAAGTGGGTGACAAATGACGATGAAACAGTTACCGGTACACCTGTTTGTCAATGTCAAAGGGTCTGTATGGGTTATTGTTTTTCTGTTAATTTCTTTGCTTTGATATTGAAAGAAAAATATTTATGAGACCCTCAGAACATAGAACACAGCTTTATGCTTTCACGCCGATGACTGGTAATTATATATAATTGATCAAAGTTCTTGATGAAGAACTGTTTGATTTACGCGGATAAGAGAAATAAGCTAATTTGCTCCTGTTTTGTGCTGACCGGAACGTCATGGATGTTCTTGTCTACCTCTTGATTTCGTTTTGGTACGGAGTTTCTGCAAAAACAACCGGTAAGACTATAACAATAATAATGATAATAACTTTCATTTACGTTTCAACGTGATTTAACATTGCTGCTAACTGGGGACACTTAGGGTTCTTTCTTGAGCAAATTTCTTTGCGGCCATCTTCTTTTCTCTGATCTAATTGCCGCCTTCCACTCCTTTGTTATGTAGGGTACATCTCTGGCTCTTACTTTCTTTTCTACTCTGGGATTTATTTTTTGACAATATAGGAGCACGTATCTGCAAAATAGTGTTGTTTATCATCTGAATAATCAAAGATATCGATTCAATGCCTGGGGCCACTTGTTATATCAAGCTGAAACTCTGTTTCGTTCATTGCTGCGTAATTCCTGACGGACTTCACTTTAAAATTATGATGTTTGAAATACTTATATGAAGTACTTGATGGAGGTCTGTCTGTATGTAATTTTTAAAAGCACTCGTTGGTAAGTCAGTAGCAGAAATTAAACGAGTGAGCGCAACGAACAAGCGAGATTTCTGAAACAAACCAACGATACATGTCATTTGAGTGACATGGCTCACTGCTACTTAGACCAGTTTGTAAATGAAAAATTATCTTGCGCCTTTTCAGTGGGTAAATCTTAGCCTGTGTATAACAAATGAATGTGAGTGACGATGTGCTTTGACAATTAACTCCCCGCTAATAAGGAATCGTTGTCTCGATTTTCTGTCACAGAAAACGTTACCTTGCTGTTTGTTGGAGATGTCTCCTTCGCCGGTCCCATCAGATATTACGTGGAACATAAATATCACTCATATAATGACACTCTTAGTGAAGTTGCACCATATGTCAGAGAGGCAGACATTTCTGTGGCCAATTTGGAGTCTCCATTTATAAACAAAGAAATGTACAAATCATTGTACGATGGAGAGAAAACAGTTATACTAGACGCTAGCCCCGAGGCCGCCCCAGCTCTGAGGTAAACATCCTTTGATCCTCATAGTCTAAAATATGCATACTTTCCCTTTAAAAATTAATCCTCAGTAAAAAATTTCAAAAGATTGCGGTGCTAAATCACAATTCATGTGTTCATATTTTTCATTCCATTAGCACTGCTTGTTCTTGCAATACACTATGCTCGTTGCATATTGTTCACAGTTGTTTGACAATAACATTTTTCTGATCCCCCCATAAGGATCTGTACCATTTTAATGGTTCCCCTCTTCGGTAGTCAATTTCCTATAGTCCCCCTGTAAAACAGAAAAGAATAATCACCTGCGTTCCCCCTGAAAACCATGTGGTCCCCCCCACTTTGTGCCCTCTAATGGTCTCCCTCTTCGGTAGTCAATTTCCTATGGTCCCCCTGTAACACAGAAATGAATACCCCCCCCCCCCCGCGTTCCCCCTGAGAACCACGTGGTTCCCCTTTCTGTACCTATTCTAATGATCTCCATTTTCTGTAGTCAATTTACCATAGTCCCCCTTTAACACAGAAACAAATAATACCCCTGCGTTCCCCCTATCTCAGTTGCATCCAATACCAGAATAGAGAACAGTTGAGGTTCGTGTCCGCCTGGCAGCATGACAAGCAGGCATAAAATTTAAATTTGTGTTCATTTAAGCATCACCCGTCTGATTCTATCCTTCTCACCAGTTTTGCAGGATTTGATGCTGTAACACTTGCCAACAATCATTTGAACGATTTTGGCTCTGAGGGAGCAAACAACAGTGTCGAAGTTCTCAAAAAGACAGGAATACAATATTTTGGTATAAGCTTTGGAAAGTATGACTCGCCACAGGTATCACCATCCGCTGTAGCACTCAAAGAGTACCCTTTCTCCCTCCCTACCCATTTCCTCACTCTCATTAACATACGAACTATTTCGACTCTTCTCATTAGAATTTTCGGGATTTTTTTATTTTTTTATTTTTTTATTTTTATTTTTTAACATTTTTTTTTATTTTCACTTAAAGCACAAATACTAGAGTAATACAAACAAATACAAAGTTAATTACACTAACGCTTACGCTACTCACTAACACTAATTACGAAATACTGCGTTGCATTACATTCACAGTCGGCTAGATTTAATTTATGTTGTGGTTATATAATAATATAAGCCTAATTTGTACAAATACTTCTACATCAAATTCCTTTTTTGGTAGAACGACTGTATATACAACTGCGTCTATAACTGTTAATACCCGATACTCATCTATTGAGTTACAATAACATGTTTTCCCATTTTTATAATGAATAGATTCTTTTTTTTATTCTTTTTTTTGCAATCAAAATTCAAATTTCCGAATTTCAGATGTTTTAGCCTTCAGTAAGGATACAGACGGCTTGATATTTTTACAACGACAGGAATAAATGGTATATTTTCCAAGAATGATTATGTGATTTAACAAACAATTCCCAGGGTTATTATCGGAAATACCAAAGAGGATTGTTACCTCATCAAGCTTATCAATTTTCATATTGTAAGTATTTAACCAAGAAATAACCGAAGGCCAAAAGTTTTTAGTGTAGGTACAGCTGATTAGAAGATGCTCAAGAGTTTCTTCGTGATCTCCACAAAAGGTACACATCGGAGAAGGAACCAAATTCATTTTATATAGGATTTTATTGGTGTAGAGAATACGATTTAAGATTTTGTATTGAAAGGCTCTCGTTCTGGTGTCAAGAGTGACTCGACCCGGCAATAGATAAATATTTTTCCAGTCTATATTACCTGAAATATTATATACGGAATTAAACTTAGATTGGGCAGTCGGAGAAATCTGGATTCGTTTGACCAGGGTGGAATAGATTGATTTTGAAGTCATTCTAGTTATATCTTGAACATCGTCTGAAACAGTTTTGTCAATTCGGTTGTTATTATTCTCTCCAACGTTAAGGAGCTGTTTCCAGTTAGGTGGAATGGCGGAAAAAATGCCTTGTAGGAGTAAGTAATCTGACAAGGAGAGATTTTCTCTCTAAAAGCGTCCCACCTTTTTAATTTTGAGTCATTTGAGAGAATATCTCCAAGTTTCACAAAACCTGCTTCTTTTATTCTCTTGTTGTATATTGATTTCTTGTTAATCAAGAGGTTCTGGTTGTTCCAGATAGTCACATTTAAAACGTCCTGTTTTGTAGCTATTATATCGTGATTGCCATTAAAGTCAGACAAAACTTCAAGACATTCTTTATAAAAAGAAGGTAGTTTATAGGGTAGGCGCGATGGATTGAAATTGCACTGAAGCAGAAAACTGGTTCCTACATTCTTAAGATAATGAGACAAGAAAACTTTCCACGGACTACTATTATCATCTAAATACCTTGCAAGACACACAATTCTTTGAGTTTTAATTAAAGATTCAGGGTGAGGCATTTTGAGGCCACCGTCTTCGTATTCACTAATTAAGGCTAGTCTTTTGACTTTGTCTTTGCCTCTCCACACGAAATTGAATATCACAGAATTTATGCTTTTAATTATATCCTTATCAAAAGAGATAAAGGAGGCCCGATACATAAACTTAGGCATAGCAAATGTTTTGACTAATTGAATTTTACCAATTAATGTTAAGTTTCTCCATTGCCAGCAACTTAAGGACTTTCTTATTGACTTTAAAGTAAGGTCAAAGTTAAGCTCTCTGCTTTTACGCTGATCATAAGTGAAAAATATACCTAGTATTTTAATTGGCTCATTCACCTTATTAATATCGAGAGCTTCGTGATTTCGATAGGAACTTCCTAACCAGTAGGCTTCTTTTTTGTCCTTATTTAGTTTAAGCCCTGAACATTCACCATATGTGTTCAATAAGGAACTAAGAGAGTCATAAGATTCCTTATCGCGTAAAAAGTTTGTTAAGTCATCGGCGAAAGTGATACATTTGATTTCTTTGTTTTCTACTACTATACCTTTTATATCTCGAGTCTGTTTGATAGCGGTAAGAAGGGTTTCCAAGGCTAAAATAAATAAATAGGGCGAGAGAGGGTCACCCTGTCTAACCCCTCTTCCCATTGAAAAAAGAGGAGTTGCTACACCATTATTCATAATGCAGCTGGATATATTAGTATAGAAAAGACGTATCCACCTAATAAAGGATTCTCCAAAATTGAACTTTTCCAAGGTCTTAAAAAGGAAGTTCCAACTCAAGGAGTCAAACTCTTTCTCGAAGTCAATGGTCACCATCAAACCGGGGAGATTGTATAACTTTGTATAGTCCATAATATCACCTATAGCTCGTACTGCATCAAAGATGTTCCTTCCTTTCACATATGCGCACTGTTCAGCACTAATTAAGTCGGAAAGAACTTTCTCGAGTCTTAATGTTATAGCTTTGGACGCAATCTTAACATCCACGTTTAACAGAGAAATGGGTCTCCAATTCGCAACATATCTTTTATCCTTGTTTTTCTTCTCAATAAGTTTTATAATTCCTTGTTTTTGGGAGTTTGCCAATTCTCCTTTTCCATAGGAACTGTTTAAAGAGTCAACTAACAAATGTCCTAAGGTGGGCCAAAATACTTGATAAAATTCTGCTGTCAGGCCATCGTTACCTGGGGATTTTCCGTTTTTAAACGTTTGTAGAGCTTTAAAACACTCCGCCTTTGTAAGAACCCCTTCACAAATTTGTTTGGCATCTTCGTTTAAAGTTGGCAAACGACATTGGTCAAGAAACGCATCGCTAACATTGTTATGATTGGGTGGGTCGCGGTTAGAGTACAATTCAGTATAGAAGTCATACAATTCTGATAAAATTGATTTGGGATTAGTTATTAATTTACCGCCTTTATCAAAAAATTTACGGACGCAAGAGTTGCTCATCTTTCTACTTTCTAAATTTAAGAAATATTTGTTATTTTTCTCACCATGTTCACACCAATTGGCTCTAGAACGAATAACATTACCTTGAATAATATAATCATACAGTGAGTTGTACTCAGATTTGATCGTTTCCAGCTGTACAGCGTTATTTCTGTCGGATTAGAGTCAAAAATCTCTTGGCATTCTTTCAATTTATTCTCGATTTCGCAAAGACGACTTCTCCTTTCTTTTGCCTTTGTTTTGCTATATTTCATTGTTACTTGTCTTATTTTGTATTTAATTAAATCCCACAGAAGACCTTTGTCTAACACTTCATTAAATTCTACTAGCCACGAGGGAACGTTGTCTTTTATAAGATTGATATATTCTGGATCTTCTAACAGGCTAGAGTTAAATTTCCAATATGACGGCCCAGTTGGTTGCATTTCAACACTGTTAACCTGGAGCACAATAGCAGCGTGGTCTGTTTTAATGGCAGAAATTATACCTGTGCTGTCCACGTCATCTTGAAAATCATCGCTTATTAGCCAGTAGTCTAACCGACGTTGGACTAAAGGCTTATTTTGTTTCCACGTGTAACGCTTTTTGTCCGGGTTCCTTAGTCTCCATATATCTACTAGGTTAAAGTCTAACATTAGCTCGCGGATTTTGGTTACCACGTCTTTTTTTTCTGTTTTACTTCCATAGCTATCAAGTTGAAGACTTAATGGCACATTAAAATCACCTCCCATAATAAACCTGTAGTCCTGGTCATAGTCGCTCTCAAGTAAAGTAGTCCTAAGGTTTTCATAGAAGTCAACAGCGTCATGGGATTGTTAGGAGCATAAATATTGATCAACAAAACGGGAGAATCTTGAACTAACGCTTCAACGATGACGAATCTGCCCTGGCTATCTTTCTTGACCGACTTCAACTCAAATTGAAGGGTCTCATCACGTATTAACACCAGAACGCCTTTGCTATGATTGGATCCGTGCGAATAATACATATCTCCCAGCCACTGAAATTTCCAACTATCAAAAACATCTGGCGTATTATATGTCTCTTGCAAAAAAAATAATCCTTTCTGGTTCCTAGCCCATGTAAAGATCGATTTGCGTTTGTTGAGATCACGAATTCCTCTAACGTTCAAGGATAGAACATTAAAGCAAACGTTATTCATAAGAGTAAGTTGATAGATATTACATTCTTAAAATATGAGAATGAGTCGGGTATAAAAATCGAGTGCGGTTTGAATGAAATAAATTGGTATCTAACAGACTGCGATAAAACTACATGAACATAAAACGAAAACGAGAACGAAAACGAAGACTGAGGGCGAAAATAAGTTAACCAATCCCACATACCTCTTGCTCCAGAAGAACTGTTTACGAGCACGAACAAACGCCTAGTACATCATTCCACCCGAAACCCTTTCACCGGAATGTGAAAAAAAAAAATCAAACTGGTAGTGCCCATGAGGTGTGAGCAAGAATATGCATAACGGATAAAGTAGAAAGTGACAAAAATGGCAGGAATTTTCTACTACTTCTTAAATTAGCATTTTCTAGAGAAAAAGAATGATCATGATAGCAACGTTAACCCAAATAAACTTATTACATTTTACATTTTGACGTATTTACCGTTGATGTAAAGTTTGTCGGGCTCCGATCTACTAAAATAAGCACGTTTACCGTCCTTCCTGGCATTCTTTAACTTCTCCATTTGGAGCTTTCGCATCTCGTGGATTTCTTTCGGGAGGTCTTCATACATCTTGTATCCTGTTTCCTTGAGTTTACGTCCGCATTTGAGCACCCGTTCTCGGTCTGAAAATCTTAAGAAACGCGCAATAATGATCCTTTCTCTTCCATTTTCCTTTCTTGGCTTGCCCATTCGGTGTACTCGTTGAAATTCGATGTTCTTTGCATCTTCTATTCCCAGGACTCTTTCAAAGAAATCAGTCAGCACCGCTTTTGTATTTTCAGTAGACACGTCGCCCCGCTGAATAGCTCCATCTTCTTCGCTCGAAGCGAAAGTTTCGGGGATGCCTTCAAATTTCAAGTTTTCGCGTCGATTGTAGGCCTCCAAGTATAACAGTTTTCTACGTGTATCGCTGACGTCGTCATTGTTTTTATTAGTCTTAGCTATCAGGTCTTGTACTTGCTCGTCAACGAATACAGAACTTTGTTCCATTGAAGTGAAGTATTCGTCTAAGGTTTTCTGCTTCGTTTTCACTGAATCTACTTCTCTCTCCAAAGACGTTACCTTGCTTTGTAGACCTTTGACTGCTGCGTTCAGTTCTTCCATTTTTGTTTCCAGGTTAGAAAGCTTCGATAACACTAAATCTATTTTGGATCCGAGTGCTTCCATGACCTCGTCTTCGTCACACGATATCTTAGCCGGAGAATTTGACTCTTTCAGTCTTTTATCTTCTGGTGACGGCTCCGAATCACTGCGATAGCTACTTTTCCGTTTTGCAGTGATGAATAATTTTTCCATGGACGTTCAAACGGTAGTAAAATTGTCCGGTTTACGGAGCCTCGCAACACACGTCTACATTCTGTGATGCTCTCCCCAGTCCAGAATTTTCGGGATGATGAAGCTTTATAAATGAGTGTAGTGTGTCATTAATCGTTTCATTTCCAAGTTCTATATGGGAATTTTTATGATAAATTCCGCGAAGGGTTTTTTACATGAGTTTGACTTCATATGGTGTGTTGTTTATTCTCGTCCTCTGTTTGCAGTACAATTTTGAAATTGAATATCTTCACCTCAAAAAAACCCTATCTTTTCCTTGTTGTTTTTAGGAACCACTCATCCTAGAAAGGGAAGGAATAAAGATTGGATTCCTTGGTTACTGCGCCACTATAAGTCCAACAATTAAAAAGAACTGCACTGAAATGAGAATGTTGTTCAACTCTGGTCCAGCCATTTATCGAGATGATATTGCTACACGAGATGTCCAACATTTGAAGAAGGTTTTGTTTTAGTTTAGGTTTGATAATAATTTAAGGAACGGAATTGTGATACGAGTTTGACAAACTAAACGATAATCAGACATGTACAGCTTAGCACGTTTCTCTCTACTAATTGAGACTGTAAGACTTCTTTACTTTTGTTTAATTTCATTTATCTTCCATTTCAAAGCAATTTTACCACCGATTGGTGTTGATTATTTCCATGACAAGATTCAACGGATAGATAGACAAACCACATACTGGTGGCGAGGAACGCACAAACTCCCTTAATTAAAAATGAATGGCATGCTCGTGCAGGGAAAGGGGGAGTGGGGGCAGATACACAAAAGCATTTAAAATATCTGCAAAGGGCCTTCCTTGAAACAGACGCTAGATTATAAATAGAGGTACTTTGGAGTGAGTGTTGCATAAACAAAACCGAAATAATCACAAAGGCTCACCAAGCGAAACAAAAAAATTAATACCGCAACGACACAATGAGAACGCGAAGGAAAAAGAGGCAAACTTTGTAAAGCGCCGGTCGAGATGAATGTCAAATTCACAATTGGTTTTACTTTTTTATTTGATTGATTGGCGGGTTGTCTTCAATTTCTTCCGCTAGTCATAGAGCGATGATAAGCAAGTCAAAAGCAATCCCTGATTTCTTTGCATGGTCCAATGAAAATTGTTTTAAACACTACCATCAGTACGAGTCTCGCTCACCACAGAGTCTCTGTGGCTTAGTGGTAGAGCATCTGAGCGTGGAATCCGAAGGTCTAAGGTTCCATTAATTATGGGAAATCAGAATTTTTTCTTTGTCCCACGCTCGTGACAAGACGAAAAACTATCCCTATTTCGTTATCGAGCTTAAAACTTACCATCTCTCATTCTATCAGTATCTTTATTCCCAAAGGCTAAAGTCGGCATAATAGTCGTCATGATGCATTATGGGCAAGAACTCTTCCTGACACCGCTTCCCTACCAGCGTCGTATAAACAAGCACCTGCTGTCTCTCGGTGTGCATGTGATCATTGGAAGCCATCCACACGTGCTCCAGCCCTGCTACGTCAAACATCGAAAACTTGTAGCATATAGTTTGGGAAATTTCCTGTTCCATCCGGGTAGAGCACCAAGTGGAAATAGCCCGGTAAAATAACACAACTAAACTAACACTGCATACAGATTCTTTAAGCTTCCGTCCTCGGCTGAGACCAACCATAAATAACCGGAGAAAAAAAATGGTTTAAGAATCTAATGCATCTCAGATGGAACAGAAATAGGTTTATGCTTTACTGCGCCACTTGGAAAGAGCAAAAAGGAAAGTGTTGTTCCATAAATCGATGAAAACTCATACCACCATCATTACCACTATCGTTACTGTTACCTTTACCTTTACCGTTGCCTTAAGCGTTACCGTTACCGTTATCGTTACCGTTATGGTACCGTTATTGCCTCCAATGTCGTAATAAACATATCGACAGTGGACTCACGAGGCGCTACTAGTACCGTTACAGTTACCTTTACCGTTATCGTTCCCGTTACCTTTACCGTTACTTTTACTATTACCGTTTCCGTTACCATTACCTTAACCGTTATTTTTACCATCACTGTTACCGTTACCTTTACCGTTATCTTTACCGTTATCGTTACCGGTACGATATCGTTTCCGTTACCATGACCTTAACCGTTATTTTCACCATCACTGTTACCGTTACCTTCATCGTTATCTTTACCGTTATCTTTACTGGTGCAGTACCGTTTCCGTTACCGTTACCTTAACTTTTACCATTATCGTTACCGTTACTGTCATTACCTCAAATGTCATGATTAAAATGCAAAGCCGGTTGCTTTTCTTTACTTTTCTAGAAGACGTATGGAAGACTTGGAGAGAAACCTAATCAATACAAAATAAAGGCTTTCGAACACTTCGTGCTGGAAAATTCGGGTGATATAAGAGCGTCGCAAATGCTGAAAGTTACGGTTTCAAGGTACTTATGAACACCAAAACTCTTAAAGTTGATGTAAAATAATATTTGTTGCATAAACTTTTTTTATCGGGAGCGCCTATCATCGTCACTGTCTTTGTAACTGTCTGTATCATTTTCAATATAATTCCTTGCTTTTATAATCGTAGCCATTGACACTAGATTAGTAAAAATGTAGGATATATCACCTTTAGTGAGATAATGAGGTGGCCTGATATTGCAAAATGAATTACTCCTCATATTGGCAATTCGTACTTCACGTATAGAGGTACAAAGTCATTTCCTGAAGGTCCAATAAGTCGTTATTTTTAGTGATGTTTTTGTTTCAGGGGAGGCGTCGTGGATGCAAAATATTTGCCACTGAAAATCGCATTTGATCTTAAAAGAAAGCGGATTCATCCCATTTTAAAGGATGCAAAATGGATCACAGTTTGCAGAAATATGGATAAGAGACAGATAAAAAGAAATGGGAGACTCTCCGCAGATGACTTGATCATGAAGACTTCTGAACTCCGAGAGACAAATAGCCTTTGATACAAACCAAATGGAAAATACGCACAAAGAGAAACAGAAACTTCAATAAAACCATGCAATGGTAACAAAACATAAAGAGATGAAAAGTTTAATTCGCAGGAACTATAGCACATTTAAAGCAGGTGTGTTTTAACACTTTGTACATTAATTTTGGCAACCTTTCTCTGCAAACTTTGATAGTGAAATCAACAAATTTTGGACCGTGTGAGAAATGGAGTCCTGAAATAAAGTTATTCATGTTTCTACTTCGAATCCATCGTCTAAAGAGATCTGGCACCGTTAGAGATGGTATCACAATTAAGCTAATCAATAAATTTTTTAAGCATCGGACGTTTTTTCCGGAAATCTTAAATCCTATAGCTAATATGAAACACTTAAGTGATTGTCCCGAATTCTGTGTTTACAATACACAATCTAAAGGATTCCTGCAAAAGAATTTGATGATCTGCAATTTTATGAACCAACTAAATCATCAGCGAGTCTAGCCTTATGAGTAAATTAATTGTAAATGCAAATTAAAAATAATTTTCAAAATCTCTTCTAAATTTTCTCGTCGTGATATGGTAAAATTTTTATTAATCATATGGGTAGATCATGCATGCTACAGATAGCTGTGGTTGATTTATCCATCGAAAGCCGATGTGTCCGCCGATAGTTTATCTATACAGTTTTATATAATAAGCTCAGTTATGCACGCGTTCTGATTGGTTCTCACTTATGATCTATTGGAGGACAGACGTACGGATGAAGTCATCATTAAAACTTTTTTTCCGTTTATTTTAATTCTTTATTATATAAAACAAATAGATTCCAAGTTGCCGTGCGTCTGTTCAGTAATAGATCACAGAGGACGTCAAAATGTGGTAAGAACATCAGTGGCACACGAGGTTGCGCTGCGCCTCGTGTGCCACTTTTTTGGATTGATTAGACTATTTTAAAAATTTTAATAGGATTGAGTGGGGTCGAATCGGTCTTTAATCATACGAGTCATCAAGAAAATCGGAAGACCGCGAAGCGAGAGTCCGATTTGTTAATCACAGATCGAATCGTTAATTACAGACAGAATTGGACGACACGAAGTCCTGTTACCAATTAATCATAACCATTACAATTTCCGAAAAAAATACATCTAGAACAAATATCTCCAGTAGAGACAATGTCTAAAGTTAAACTGAAATTCCTTCATTTTGGAAATTCGCCAGTTTTTCATAGGATAAGTGGTTGTTGCAATTGTTATTGTGATCAATTCTGTGATCTAGCTGAATAGATTAAGTACGACTGGCTGTTACAACTTTCCGATTACAGCCAACTGTCCGATTACAACTTTACAAAATAATTAGTGAAAAATGAGGCACTGAGTGCCCCAATCACATTTGAGGAAATTGCAATGGTTATGATTAAACCTTCAATGTACGACACGAATTAATTGTGTAAATTAGAAAATGCGAAAAACTCAGGAATGAAAAATTAAATTAATAAGAGCAAATGCTTCTTATTGATGCATTTTTGTATTTAATGTGGACCTCTCCATCTGCGGTTGCATTTCAAATTGAAAAATTTCCTTCATCGTGATTGGCTAGCGTTAGCTAAGTAGTTGAGTTTGATTAGCTGATTGCTAAAAGGCTTAATTTTGATTGGCTGCCTACTTTTCCAGCTTGATCTGTCCGACTACAAGAGTTCGCAATCAAACGGTCGAGATCGGACAGTTTGAACACGGAACACCCAATTAAACTACAAAAAAAGACTGATAAGGACCAGTCATACTGGAGCATTCTGTTAAAGACACAATGAAAGCGACGATTTCAACATACCAGAGCATGGTCTCTTGCTTCGTCATGAACGTAATAGCCATTTGTTTCTTGATATCTGGGTCATATGCAGTGAACGCAAATAAAGGTGAGACTACTAAATGAACCAATCACTCAATATATTTTTCCAAGGGACAGTTTTCCATTCTTTGACATTACAAGCGCGTCGTTAAGGTGTACGCTCCTCTTAACAGAAGAAGTATAATCACTTTAAATACTTACATGTTTCTTTGTGTCAGAGGCAAAAAAAATTCCACAAATATTGATTTACGATTTTGCTCGCTTAAAAAATGTCAGAAAACGTTTCCCTCATGCAGTTGGTCTTATAGAATAGCGAGCGTTTCAGCCATTCTCCCGCGCAAATGATTCAGTTTGATTCAAGAACATTCAGGCTCGAAACGGCGACCTACGGATTTCATCCTTATTATATACCAGAGTTAACAACCGCCTTCAAAGGCTCAGTAAATAAAACATTTATTAGTTTATCAAATTTTCATTATGTCGCGTCGCCCTAAAAGTTTTAGCAGCCCACAGCTGGGTAAAACGCGGGTGACCAGATCAGTCACAGATCGAAGTAAGGCAAAAACAAGCAGTTTCAAATTACTTTTGACGATCAATTGAAAGTTACTTTCATTAATTATCACCGGAATTTTACGAAAGTTCCATAACATTTGCGTTCCCTTTACTTTTAGGAAGCGTCACTTTAATGTTTGTGGGAGACATTTCCTTCTCTGACCCGGTGAGGATATTACTTAGAATGCGGTTATCACTCGTATAATGACTCTTTCAACGACGTGGCACCATATTTGAGAGAGGCTGATATCTCTGCGGGTAATCTGGAGTCTCCTTTTGTTAATCAAGAGATGCTCAGTGGACGAACCTCTTAAAATGTATGTTAGCCCTCAGGCTGCATCAGCACTGAGGTAAAGTAATCATTGCAGGACCCAATTAAAAGCACTCCGGCCCGAGCGTTTTTTGATTTGGAAGCAAACCAGATACATTTGAAATCGAGTCTTATGAATATTTCGTTCTCGGAAATTGTAACAATTTAAGGCTTTCCCGGATCCTCAGTATTAACATCTCAAGGTATGATTTTTTCATAAGTATACGCCAAAGTAACCAAAAGAATATCATGGGTTATGGGGATAAATTCTCTTGGTTCATATTCTCTTGTTTTAACCCATCCACTAATTTCTACCTCTACGTTAATTTAATGGGTCATCCCCATTTTATGGAACTCAGAATAAAAATCGCCCATCAACACAGCTGCGATATGTTTTATGCCAAAAAAGCCATAAATAAACAAATGAATAAATAAATAAAAAGCCCTAAAAAGAAAGTTAATATCCGTTATAACTGGCTGTTGACTGTGTCGTTGCTGAATATTGGCACCTTTCTCACCGTTGTCCTCTCCCCCTCCCACCGGGGCTTCTCAGTCCACTTTGCTTATTGTGGAGAATGTAAATGCGCAAACAAATACATCAAATAAAGCATGGATATTTGCCAAAATTCCAGCTGGTAGGGGTATAAACAAGCTGGTTGTTTTGTTTAAAATGTGCACCTCAGGGTGAGGAGTTGACGTTGTGCCAACCTCTGAGAAACTTAATTAACTCGAAGGCTCAAGAATATATTTCTGGCACTCCTGCCTCTACTCAAATCTATTTGACCTCAAAAAAGCAAACGTTTCTCTTTTTTGAAGTAGAAGAACGCGATAAGCTATACAAGGAAATTCAAAACTTAATTTCCCATAAAATTCCGCCTCCTCCTCCTCCTCCTCCTTCTTCTTCTTCTTCTTCTTCTTCAGCCTATTCTCCTTCCTCACGAGGTGCGGCTAAAAAATCTTAATTCAATAGTTGTGGCAGGCTCTACTTGATTGCATGGGACTTGATTAGCCCTCACTTCTGTGGAAAAGCAGCTGACCAGGTTCTTTAGCCCTTGACGATAATTTCCACTAAAAACGAAACAAATGCAAGGGTTCACAGCACTGTTTGAAAGAGCCAAAAGGTAGCTAGTGAGGAGGAAGCGATGCCACCCGCAAGAAGGTACGATCTGTACGTATTTTACGACAATTCTAAAGATACTCAAGGACAACAGACATATTGCAAACGCCAGCACGATAGCGACGGACATCTTTAGTACTTTTCTTTCTCTCTTTCTGTGTTGATCACCACCGTTGATGGATCTTTCGCCGGGCACGTTCTGTCGTCTGAGTTTGAAATAGATAACTATGTATACTATAGCTATCAAAACCAAAGGAATACAGCGGAAAAGGATCAGAACTACCGTTTTGTAAGTAAAGGACACGAAAACTTCGTTTAAGACCTCACTAAAAAGAGTCGCACAAATGAGTTTGCCATGACGATTCATAACCAGGTGGCTCCCAAGAAAATAAGGGGAGTAGATACCGAGTGAGATGATCCAAGTAGTAACAATGAAGAAAGAGCACAACTTTGAAGTCATGAGTGGAGGTCGAAGAGGAAATACCACAGCTCCAAATCGATCCACTGCTATAAGAACCAAGCTCTGAACTGACACAGAGGCAGAAACGTAAATCAAGAACTCGACTAGCTTGCATGAAACCTCGCCGAATAGTCCAACCACGAGCCAGGTTTCGGCGTACACCCCTACCAGGTTTGGTGGAACAACGAAAATCGCATAAAGCAGATCAGACATAGCCATGTTTACGATTAAAAAGTTGATGGGTTTCCTCATGGCTCGAGACTTGAACACGATAATGGCTATGGAACTATTTCCCGCCAATGAGAAAACGAAAATCCCGCAGTAAACCAGTGTTAGCGAGACTTTTTTCGCTATAGGATTGAAGCAGAGTACGTGCAGGTGTGTTCCATTTATCGATGTGTTTAAGTTTCTAGACATCTTGTGATTCAATATTATAGAGTTCTATAGCAGCCTAAGCAAGCTTCTCTCTCTCTGGCAGTTGTGCAGAAAAGATTTGGGTTTGTAACGTTAGGGTGGAATATTCGTGATCTATGATTGTGCTGCGCACGAAAATTAATAATGTATAATGTAATTGCATCATGCAGACATTTCGATCTACATGAAGCACTTAAGTTTCATTTCATCGAACGTTACAACAAAAACTTCTTCATCATTATCATTGTTTTTTTTTTGTTTTTTTTTGGGCATGTTTATTCAAAAAAATGAAGAAAATTGATTAGTTATTTAAACAGCCGGAGTAAACCGATCTTATCGCCATATGTCGCTATGCAATATATAAACCTGTCTAATATACATATAAATGGTGATTGTGCTAACCGCATTTTAAGGAAAAACTCTTTATCACCATCGATCAACGAACAAATGGTGAAAAAAAAGTAATTAAAAATTATTCCAAAATTTGTAAACTCGCCGCCAGGCCAAGGTCTTCCCGAAATAGGCGTTCTCGGCCCAGTCTCATATTTGCCAACAATCGTTGACTTGGCAACGGTTAGCAAACTTAGGGACCACAACCGAAGGAACAATTTCGATCAAGATGGCGTCGAGAATCATGCATGGTCGGCGAGAGGGTCAAACAAGAGGTAATTTCTCGAAGCTAGCTCGTATTCTTGTACTGAATTTGTGACTTAACATGTGTTACATCTTTCAACTACATAGAATTTGGTGGAGCGAAAGTCAGCGTCATTCCTGAAGGAGTTGACCCGCGTGAGGTGAGCGTGTTTTCATTATAATTTTGAGATACTTTCCCCGAACTTTAGCGTCGGCCTATAACAGTACATGGGAGAAAAATTGTGCAACTTTGTAATTATAGGTAACAGTTCTCCAGCCCGATTCGTGGAGGCGCATCCAGAACAGCCTTTCGCGATATAACGAGGAGCAAATGCGACTGGAAGCGAAGAGGAAAGAAAGAGAGGACCTCCACGCCATTTCTAAAGAATCAGTAAAACACTGGGAAAATACCATAGAGGTACGGTTTTAATTTTCTGTCATAATTTTAATTTTCCCAATAAAAGCTTTGTTCAGGGTAAGTGAAGTTTAGTTGTTTGTGTGCGTGTGAACCCAGAGATTTGAGGTGATGGTCACGATTATGTTATGTTGCTATGTTCACGTAATAACCAAACGACATTTTTCCGAGGGGAATGTTCATGCTTCTTTACTAGACTTCACGCCGTACTTCTGAGCATACTTATTATACTTTGAAAGAGGATATAATGCTCTTTTTATAGCCAGTATTCGTGGATATTTTGCCATAAATAACACAAACTCCATTGCAACATATACATGTAGATTTCCACTAAATCGACTTATTTAACATGCACGTAGATGCACAAGAATCTCGCTTAACGATCATTCCCTTTCAAAACTTACCGATAAAAAGGTGGTATGAAGACTGCATTTCGGTGATGTCTCAATATATATTGGCTAATTTTTACAGGGTCAGAGACTGAAGAAACTACAAGCACGACAATTACGAGAAGAAAAGGAGGAGGTGAGATAAACAGAATCAAATATTAGGTGTAATAATAGCCTGTTTTCAAAATTTTCCCAAAATTGTCTGAGTTGCTTTAGTGACTTGGGAAATTTTGGGAAAACTTTGAAATCAATAAATTGTTGCCTAAACAACAAAAAGACTAGTGCTTAATCATTACCAAGTAATTATGCCCTCTTGATTACCTATAGTGCCCTCGTGATTAAGAAAAAAACTCCCTCTGTCTCAGTCAGTCACCATTTAGTAATTTTGCCCCTGTGTGTCGTAAATGCAGCAAATGTAAGAGAATACTATATGATACTGTTCGCACACTGTGTAAATCAGTTAGTGCAAAGCTGTTAACTATAAAGTTGAGAGAAATGAAGAGGACCTCAGCCTCATTACAGATTTTTTTTCCTTTGGCAGGAGGAAAAAGTCAAGATTGACAAAGAAGAAGCAAAACATCAGGCCCAAAAAAGAAAGGAAGCTATTGAGAGAGCAAAGACTTTGCAATATTATCAGACTGACAGAGTAAAGACATTCCATGTAAGAAATGTCATATGTCAGATGCTGCAGAAAAACCCTCTTTATAACATAATTGAGACACAAATTCATTGGGCCAGCATACAAACATATGAATAACCTGTTTCAGGAAGTTTTAATTTTCCTGCTCTCAAGAACCATGTTTCTATATACATGTATGTATGCTTTCGAATAGAGATGACATATTTTAGTCCTAAAGGCTGTCTGAACCTTGGATATAGTGCACACCTCCTTTAATTTAAATGGGATCTTGAACTGGAGAGATGTTTCATAGCTTAATCTGCTAGTGTCAAATACAATAATTGTTAAGAAGTTTGCTTAACTAGATCAATGCCGTTGCAAGACTTCTATATAAAGTGCATGCTTGTTCTATTTTCAATCCCTGATTGTTTTGAGTGAGCCAATGCTGGGCACCAAATTTTCATTATTCTGGGTTGTTGCCCTGGCTGACACTATATTTGTTGTAAAGTTTTTTTTCTTTTGTGGTTCCCCTCCTAATAGGGTGCCCTCCTTCTAACAGAGGTTCTTAAAGAGAGAGATGCCCAGATTGATATGAAAAATGGCCAGCTTAATGCTGATAAGATTAGAGAGGATCATCTTTTAAGACTTCAGCAGAGGGTAAGTCATGAGGGACAATATTTTCATGAAGGTCTGCATGTGCTGAAAAATTTGTGATAAACCCTCGGATTTAACTGTACCTGTTTTCTAATTTTTTTGTGGTGTGAATTTAAGTGTTTGATTAGATGTACATAACTGCACAAGTACAACATTTATCCTCTAGATGTAATTTAAGTCTACAGTCAGTTAATGAAAATATTGGGGAAAGTTCTTGTATCTTCACTTGGTTAATCATAACCATTACAATTTCCTCACATGTGATTGGTACATCAGCTGCTTTATATATCACTAATCACTCTGTACAGTTATAATCGAACAGTGTAATCGGACAGTTGGCTGTAATCGGACACCTGTTATCGGACAGTTGAAGCAGCCAATCATACTAAGTCCACTCAGCTAAATCCACCAATCATAGAATTAATCACAATAACCATAGCAACAACCACTTATCCAAAGAAAAACTAGGCAAATGGAGGAATTTTTAGCTAGAGACATTGTCTGGTGTATTTGTTTTTTCGGAAATTGAAATGATTATGATTAATTGGTAACAGGATTTCTAGTCGTCCAATTCTGTCTGTAATCATACTTGTGATAAACAAAGTGGACTCCCGCTTGGTGGTCGTCCAATTTTATTAATCACTCGTATGATTACTGACCAAACTGGACTCCACTTAGTCCTTATTAGTAACATTACAAGATGTACAATGAGCATTGCTGTTTATTTTTTTTTTCCTTTTTTCATTACAGGCATTTTTTGTACAGTGCATGTTTGATCAATTTATTTTGAAGCCTGCTTTGGGTTTAACACAGATTTTTTTCCTTTTCTTCCTTCTTCATCCGCTTACAGCAACGTGAGGAAGCCATTATGGAAGATCAAAAGAGGGCTTTAAGGAGATACAATGAGAGAAAAGCAGTGGCAGATTTCCAAAACCTTCAGTAAGTAACTTTACAAATGTCAGTTTACTGAGGATAATTATAGATTACTTCATAGAAACTAAAAATTCTCTTATTCAATAGAAAGTGCAGATTCTAAAATTCCTGCTATATTCACAGTTCTAAAAGTGTCAAAAACTATTTTAAGGTATTCGGAACAATGTTTCATCAATGTGTACTAATGTACACTGTTAGTATGTCTTGATCCTGAGTCACTATGTACAGTGATTCATATCTTTTACATGTATTTGTACTTTGCACATGAAACAGCCACCACCCAAATAACAAGCACCTTCGGAAGAATGATGAATAACTTGTCCTTATAAAGTTTACACCAGCTTAAATGTTGTGGTTCGAATCTTTTGTGTTTGGCTTACTAGTAATGTTTTCCAAACTAATGTCATTTTTATTAATTAAGTAATTTATATGTTAATCAGCATAATATGAGACAAATACTTGACTAGTTTACAAGATGTTAATTTCACATGCTTTTCTTTCTAGAATTCTTGATCACATTGAAGAAGGGAAAAAAGCAAAACAAGTCGACATAGAAGAGGGAGAGAATGTTAAGCAACAAGTTGACATGTACATGGCAGCAAAGAAGACCATTGAAGAACAGAGACGAAAGGTTTGTTTAACCCTTAAACTCCCATTGGTGACTAATATGTAAATTCTCTCTACAATTTCTAAACATTATCCAGAAAAAAAGTAATGAGAATGCTAGAACTCATTGGGAAGAAGTTGTTATCCTGGTCTACATGTAATATCAAATTCTTGTAACTAATTTACAAGGGATTGTATATCAGCTAAAGAGGAGAATTGACAAACACATCATGGGAGTTAAGGGGTTAAATACATGCATTGCAAGTTACAGATCTCTATGTAGAAAGAAATGTGTACAGGTACTGTATGTGTACCAGTGCACAACAAAATGTTTTTCTCATCTATTGATGGGCCTTTGGAATCCAATCAAAAGATTCCATGTTGTACTGTATAGCCATTTATAAGAGTTACATGTATCTCAGTAAAAGTTGTTGATTGAGAGTTTGCAGTTACATGTGCATGTACATTGTAAATCTAGTTTTGGTTTTCAGCCTGCATGCATGTAGCTATATGTACCAGACAAGTGTTGCTTGGGAAAGTAATTTTGACACCTTTCGAGAATGTATTTTAAAAGAACTCTACTTGGAACAGATCTGGCTAAGTGGAAGAATTACCTCTTTTTTCAAATACAATATCATTGTTTTATTTCTTTGAATTTAAGGATAAAAAGGACATTATGGAAGAACATCAGAGGCAGCTGGCTGATAGAGAAGTATGTTTAACTTGATAAAATTAAGGCTGTGCGTGTTTAAAAGGCGACTGCAGTGTAATAATAGTTTTGGATATTCCATTGAAAGGGACACGTTCATATGTTAAAGCAATTTCTTTTGTTTTTGCTTTACCAGGTTAGGCGTCAGTCAGAGCAGAAAAAAGCTGAAGACGAAGAAGAAGAAATTCGACAATTTGCTCAAGCTAAAAAGGTACTTAAGCCTTAATGAGAAGCTCAGAATTTACATTTGTTTCTTGTTCTATGTTTTGTTTTCAAAAAAGTAGCACCCTTCGAATGTTGTAACGCTCCAAACATCAGCTTTTCAAAATACTTGCCGTCGTCAACTTTAAGTTGAGAAGGGAAGTATCCTCGGTTTTGCTGTGTTTTGTTAACGTATTGTTTCTCGTCTTTTTCAACTGTAGAAAATGGCAAGGATGCGTAAAGAGAAAGAAAGTGAACTATTCAGGTAATGTATCGTATGTACAGTGTAAAATTTTAACATTTGTACGGAATTTATTCTCGGTCTAAAAAAGATATACACAAAAATTCCTGTATTTAGTATGCCATTTATCAGTGTTGATCAATCACTAGTCTGTTTAGCAAGCACAGGTCAAAACACATTCACACTGTTTTTACATTTGTACCTCGCTAAAGGTTAGCTCATGGGGGGTCCTCTTGATGTTGAAAATCGAAGAAAAATTACAGCATGAGTCGACATTTTTATTTGACCAGTCGCATCAACTGAAAATTTTGCTCGCTGCATCTTCCCGCAGTTTCTCTAAACTCTTTATGTTTGTTTACAGAGCCTTCCAGGATCACACGGAGAGAATGAGAAAGAAGCTGGCCAACCAGATGCAGCAGCAAGTGGATGATGAAGACGACAGAATAGCGAAGACTGTGGCAGAAAGGGAAAGAAAGCGTGAGGTATAATAACAACAATTCTCAATTCAGCAATAAAGTAGTCTTCAATCGTGCGCTGAGGGAGCGAAACTGAAACAATTGCGGTGGAGCCAATTTCACATTCGTATGCGTTATTTTTTCGCCGATTTCCTTTCGAAATATTCCTTTCTTCTGATTGGCTGATGCGAGAGAGAACGGTTTTCAAGTGAGTGTTGAAAGTATTCCGAGGTTGGTTTGGTTTTGGTTCAGAAAACTCGCGCAAGGCTCTTCACCGATTAGACTCGGTCACTCGCGTTTTCCCCAGCCTCAGCAGTTTTCTTGTTTTTACTGTGAGCCCTTATTTGGCTGATGATGGTATTAATCTGTGTTCTAATTAGCAGCAGTGATTGATTTGTTTTTTTTTTGTTTAACAATAATGAATTTAATTTTAAATTGAAAGCGAAATAAGAAAAGATTTTAAAATTTTGGAAACGATCGTTGTCTGATAGCTGTAAATTAATAAGTATTTTTATTATTCTATTTTGCTAGGAGGAAGAGAGACAAAAATACGAGGCCGATATGAAGGCCAAAAAGGAGATTCACGATCAAAGGATCTACATGGTAATCTTTTAACTTAGCGTGTTAGACTGTATATCCTACACAAGGCGCTATAGTTGTGATGTAGCGATTTTGTGTAAGGACGTTATACAATAATTATTTTTTCTTTATTATTTTTTTTTATGTGAAGCTTGATTGATGCCATGAATTATCCCGTGAAACGTGATTTGAGCTTTTCAAAAATTATTGTTTATAATATCAAATTATGTTTTATTTAAATTAATGAAGATGATGATCGTCTAGATTTGGCATAAACGTGAGGAAAGTTTCAATATTCCTCTTGACGCGTGGAAAGGCAAATTAATTCAAAATGAACTTGTAGGTGATCGAATCTTTCCCAAAAGTATAGGGTACCATTTCAAAAGGTCTGGAAAGGGAGTCACTGAAACAGCTTTCGATGGCGATTAAACCGTTTATTCTCCTATGGTTCTTGTTCGTTAGTTGAAATAATTTTGGGAACAAAAGAATGAGCACGACCCCATAAAAGTATTTCCTACATTTCTTACGCATAACACAACACAGTACAATACATACCGCGAGATAACTTGCTTGCTGCGTTGTTGCACTTGAGAGCAGTTCCTGTGAAGAATTCGGTTTTTTCTTGGTACCTAACTGCTCAAGTTATTTCCTAACATCACGCATTCTTCACACGTTCCAGATGAAAGAAAATGAACGCCGGGCCATGGAGGAGGCCAAAAAAGATCGTGAAATACTCCGCAACAGAGTGAAATCTGATAAACTGGTAAGTATAGTATTTCCATGATCAGCATTGCGTAGTTTTATATTTCGCGTTATTGGTTGTGACAACTCGCTATTGAAAAGTAACTTTGTAGCTGGCTGCTAGTATATATTTCCCGTGTTGAATATTCAGGGGTTTTCGTTTTCAAGTCGAGAAGGATTAGTCTACCTCTTTTAGCACGGGATTGTTAATTTTTATTCCCCTGTTATTTTGACATTTATTTTATACAAATGTGATATCAGTTGATCTTTTCTGTTGTTATCTTGTAGTTCCACATGAAACAAGAAGAAAAACGTCTGGAACAGCTGTCCGAATGCAAGAAACTCAAAGAACTTCAAACGCAACAGATTGTGAGTACTTAAGTATCAATTCTTTGTTACATATTAATCATAACTGTTTAGCCAATGAGATAGTTAGAAACACGGTGTTTTTGAAATGCAATCGTTTGTTTCACGATTTAATCACTTCAGATGTGGATCACAACGTTGCAACTGCAGTAAGACTAGCAGTATGCATTACATTTTTCTTTTGAAAGTGTTATTTACCACGATGACTAACCAATACCTATCTTACTGTGTTTTTGTAAAGCAAGGTGACTTACTGGGTACTCTAATATCCAATAATACCCTGAGGGGACCACGAAAAGTGTGTAACTGCAATCAGGGGCCAATTTAAAAAAAAAAAAAAAAGTACCAACTAGCTACTAACAAAACAAACTCCTCGTTACGGATTGACGCGAATCGGTTTATTTTTCCGGCTGGGAGTTTCGCGTTTTCCGTATATACGGCAAGAACTACTGATTTATTCCGCATTGTAACGAGTTTTATTCGTTGAAATATTAAAAGCTTCTTTCTTTTTGTCGCCAGGCCGAAGTGAAGGAGCGAGAACAACAAGCCAAGGAAGCAGAACTAGACTTAGACAAACGCAACGGGGAGCTTCTCAGAGAGGAGGAGATTCAATTCCAAGAGTACGCTAACAAGGTCATTACTGAGGCTAGAAACAATGGCCGTAATCCTTACCCACTCATGAAGGCCGCGCAAGAAGGGCCCGGAGGAGGTCGTGGGCCCAAATTTGAAGGCAAACGAGGGCTTCGACCAAGCTACCTTGTGGGGGATGCTTCAGGGGTGCAGTTGCCAAATTACTCCGATGGAACAGTGAAAGGCTCACACACGAAAATTTACGGCAATCCTGGCGATAGTAGGAAGCGCTTAGGGTTTACCTGGTGAATTGCCTTAAAGCGCGATGAATTTTTACTTGTAAATAGACTTTCTTTCGTGTCTCGGAAATAAACTCTTGCCCACAGAATTTTCAGAATGACTGGATTTCATGAAGTGTCATACACAGGTTGGAAATAAACAAGTTACAAAAGACTTTCAGGTTTCCAGCTTATGATGGAGAGGATGTTTATATGTCGATCCCAGTTTCCTTAATTAAACCAACTTAGTAATTGGAATTTATTGATTGATCCATAAATTAAGGTAGAGGTGATGATATTAGTGGTAAAATCGTCCCAGGCATTTATTTATCGGACCTCAAGCCAAAGACAGAATGAAAAGGCTCTTTCTTCTCTGAGTCGCTGTTAAGTACGGTGGCTGATGATGACTGTCATTAATGACATCATAGGATTTTTTATTCAGAGATCAGAAACACGACAAAATATTCTGGCAAAGAAAAGTGTGCAAATAGAAAAATAAAGATGGTAAATTTTAACTTCGGTTGTCGCGTGAAGCAAATGCTCGCGTTTTGAAAAACAATCGTTTGTGGAAGGAAATATTACAACCAATGACTATTAAGCATTTTGAATTGAACAACATTATTTATGCGTTCCCTCTTGATTGGAGACAAAATATCAGACAAAACCCAAACAATTTATTAAATCAAATTGGAAACAATAGTAATGGTTGAGAAAACAAGGCACTGTTATTATCTTTAGAAAACATTTTCGCAAAGCACCTAATATAATGCTCAGCACCACGATGTTTCATGGGGTAACAGTAATCATGATATCAGAGTAAAGTGAAGGGAAGGCTCAAAACATAAACGAAAGAAAAGAAATTCGCCTTCTGCGTTTAAATTTCGTCAATAAGTAGAGAGATGTTAATATATTTTATTGCCGGGAGCATAAACTCCAAGGCTAATTACCTCTGACGCAGAATCGTCGCACGCGATTGGAATATCAAGGAATACTTCTTAATCCTGTTAATTGATGACTCGGATTGAACCATGATGGCCTGTATTTCAATGTATGCACGGCTATGTAAACATGCATATCATAACATTAGTTGCATTCTAGCAAGAGTTCCGGTTGAGGAAACTAGCAAACTGAATAGTCACCAGCGCCCCTGAGTCTTCTTCCGGTATCAATTACTGGTTGAAACAAACAGCTTTGACTCTCTAACCCCTAAGAGTGATCAGCAACTAATTTCTCCTATCAGTATCCCCCTAAAACAAACATTGAGGTCGAGAGTAAAGTTAATAACCACCACTGAACTAAAGAAGCTGTTGGTTGTTCAACAAATTCTCTTTGTCAGCGCTATAGGAAATGTATACTGATCTTAGGGTGTTAAAGATTAAGTTTCCACGAAAGCATTATCATGATTTTTAATGACACGGTTTTTTCTGAGAATCGACTGTGCTTTTTAAATAACTGAGTATCATGGCTCGTAAACAGTTTCAGAGAGAAGACAAATTCTCTTTGTCAGTACCACTGGAAATATATAGAGAACATTACGGAGAAAATGCATACTGATCTTAGGGTGAAAGGGTTAAGTTTCCAAGAAAGCATTATCATAATTTATGCTGACATGATTTTTCCGAGAATCGACTGTGTTATTTAAATACCTGGGTATCACAAAGCTCGTAAACAGTTTACGAAAGAAGACAAAGCAAGAAGATTCGTGCAATTGGCAAGGAGTAATTTGCGCTTTTGATTCCCGCTCAATTACAATGTAAGTTATATACTATGTATATCTCTCTTCTATTTGTACTATATACAGAGATATGGTGAAGTATTTCTTTGTGCTGGTATCAAGACCTTCTTTAAAGGTGAAACATTCAGTCGGTAAAACCGTTCTGCACTAATGACCTGAAAAGGGTAATTGGAAAAGTTATCAAACTCTGAAAAGTTATCAAACTCTGAAAAGTTATTAAACTCTGAAAAGTTATCAAAAGACGACAGTTTAATGAAGTCCAAGGGTGGCAGACATTAAAATCTCCTATCACGTACGAAATTGGTTGAAGATAATTCAAGCTAGCCGATGTTAATGTTCTGCAAAATTACCAAGCAAACCGTTTGTGATACAAGGCTTCATTATGGCATTGAGAAAACAGAGTAAGAAACAAATAGACTTCAACAGATAGACATCTTCAGTATTTACGTATACCCCGCTATTTCAGTTTTCTACAGACTCGTAACGTATTTTGTGAACAAAGGTTTATTCTTTGTATTGTGCGAAGTGAATAAAGTACATCTTGAATCGTTGAGGAAAATGTGCAAAATATAAACATTTAATAACTATTCTTGTTACCAACCGAATCAAAGTGGGGGTTGTGAGTAACGTTTTCTGAGCAAAAGCTACAAACAGCGGTTTCTTTGTTGTCGTAGTGAAAACTGATACAATGGACGATAAAGGCGGTCAGAAATCTGAAGGGAAACCGAAGACGGAGATGGACAAAGATGCAGCAGCACGTATTCAGAGCGCTGAAGCGAAAAAAAATGACGGTAAAGTTGAAAAAGAAAGCTTTCCCTCCCGCGCTCAGCGCGCAGCAGCCAAGAATGAAGCAGCGAAGGACGAAGAAGGGAAATGAGCCTGAAACAGATAATAAGCCCTGATGACATAACAATTAACAATTAATGATTACCAAACTGGTGTTATAATTCCTTTGACCATTGTCTTAGCTGTGTCTAAACTCTTAGAGTTGAGTGCTAAGGGGCTTTCATATACTATTAATAAAACGGAAGTTAAATCAGTTTTCCGAATGATTGAGTGAATCTTATTCTGGTAAATCCCTTTGGAGTTCACCCTCTCGGAATTACTCGAGAGTGGAGATAATGTCGACGAGAATCTTATGAACTTTTTTTTTTGCCTCTGAACCAAGTAATACACCCCAAAATTTGCTTTTACTTGTCCTTTTCAATCTATCTTTATTTAATTGAGTTATGCTCAAGCACAGCACTGGCTCTTGGAGTCCAACGTAAACAGAAATATATAGATACTCAGCAAAAACTGTTAAACATATGATATAAACTGGTCTTAACCTGCTAACAATTGAAAGTCACATGGCATGAATTATGCTGGAATAAAAGAACAAAGAAAGGGAAATTAATCAATAATGCAAGCTTGACGTTTCTTTGTTCTGGATGTCTCCTTTGGCTGTTTGTTTCCTAGCAAGGACGAATTTCTTAGAAATACCCGCACGTGTTCGAAGCAGCATGCGTTGGCTTTTCCTAGAATTAGGACTGACTCCGCTGAGACAAATATTTTTATCTAAATGTTAAAGTTTAAGCTTTTTTCTTTTTACTGCAAATACGCCAGTTAAACGAAAGGCAGAGCAAACACCAGTATAGCAATAAATCATTTACGCGCTCGCTTCTATGTTATCACACCGGTCAAACCAAGTATCTCTACAAGATCATCTCGATAAAATATGCTGACATAGTCATTTCTCGGAACTCTCTCTTGCTTTTGTGTTGTCTCACATGTCAATCCAAGCGTCTTTCCGAGAAAATCTATATAAATTATGCTGACGTCATTTTCTCGGAAAACAATTGGTATTTGTCAAAGACTCGTTGACCCTATTTTATCATTCTATAGATCGAGTCAACTCCTGGGAATATCGTTTTGATTGTCATCGTCGTCTTATTTTGATCATTAGTATCATTATTTTTCTTGTAAAAGCGAGATTCCAGAGATTCGCGTCTCATCGTCACAGTAAGCCTGTGTTGTTGGTATGTAAGCCAGCTTTGTTTCAAATCCTCAGATCCTCGTTCCCTCTTCAATTGCACCCTTTCTGCCACTTTTTGCGGTGTTTTCGATTCGAATTTACATGAAGGATGACTAGTTCCATGTCTAGGTTTGTCTTTTCCGTCAGGATATGCAGAAGCGTGTCAGCCAAGCTATACATTCAACTGTTGACTGAGTTTAGCGTCGGTGGGTTATACCGTTTTATTTCTTTTACTGAAAATACGAAAGTAAAACGAAAGTTAAACGAAAGGCAGAGCAAATCGTTTACGCGCTCACTCGCTTCTTGTCATCTCACTGGTCAAACCAAGTATCTTTGTAAGGTTATCTCGATAATTTACGCTGACATAATCATTTCTCGAAACCCTCTCCATTCTGTTTGTCTCACATGTCAATCTTGGCTTCTTTCCGAGAAAACCTGTATGAATTATGCTGACGTCATTTTCTCAGAAAACAATTTGCATTTGTGAAAGACTCGCTAACAATATCTTATCATTCTACGGAGGAAAACATTGGCGGAGGGTCTGAGAAAACCAAAGACATACGAGTCTTTTCTACAGTCACATAACGTAAGTCAATACTTAGTTGCCTTAATCATTTGCTTTTGCAGTTTCAGTTCGTAACATTATATTGCTCCAAGAATGCAGTCAAATCCAATGAAAGGAGAACTAGAGGCCGCCGAATGCACTAGTACATAGCTAGGATAATGGTAAACCGTTCAAATTTTTGATATCACGCGCCGTCGAGCTTTTTTCGCAATACACACGCAATCTTAGGTTAATTCAGTTTACTACATTACAATGACCGCATGTCTCTTCGAAAACGAAAGCGCTTTGAAATGCATCTTATGAAAATCTTTAAGATAGCCTTCACTCGCCATCGATCACGGCGATCTTGACGGTGAAAATGAAGTCGTGTCTTCTTCTTGACTGAATCGTACGAAAAATCTAGAGGATCCTTGGTTAAGTTTGTCTATCAAGCCTCTCAGGTACAGAATACACTTCTTAGAATAGAAGGAAGGTTTTATTCGATGTTAGCATTGTTGACAATGCATATCAGGATGGATGAGAAACACGTGGATGTGGACATTTCAAAGGAAAATCTTCGATTTCGAATACTCTTTTATCAAGCGCGCTTTTGATAGTTTTACATCTCTCAACTAAGATAAAAATGAGCAAAGCCTTTTACTATCTGAAGATCGATCCCACAGAGCTGTTTCGTAAGACAACCCTACAGGTTGAATCGACCTGAAAGTGCTTTGAAATTCATATATTCCACTGCATGATATCCTTATTTCTTTCCGCCTCAAATAATGATGTGCACACGAAAGACACTCATCGTAAAACCGATCACTACATGACGTTTATTTCTTTCTCTTTTTCCGCCACAAATGAATTTGACTTTAGAAGCAAGAGAACTAAAGAACCATGGACAAGCAAGGAACTCAAAGCTCTGGAGGAAACGCACAGCCCAAAAATCCGATGAATAAAGAAGCGGCGTCAAGGATTCAGGGTTCAGAAGCAAAACAGCACGGCGGTGGGGTTCCTAAAGGAAGCTTTGCTTCGCGCGCTCAGTCTACTGCAGACAAGCGGGAAAACCAGAACAACTAAGCCCGTGGAACTGCTTTTAAACTAAAAGGGAGCATGATTTCGTTTATCATCATTTGTGAGAGACATTTGATCTTTGTTTTTTGAGGGTTGTTATTAAACTATGATTTGAATTTCTTGCTGATTAATCATCATTTACTGGTAGTAATGGTAGTTTGTAGAGAGTCGAAGGAAAACTCGTTTGACGATTTAGGAAAATGATTGAAGCACATCGAAAGCAAATGAAATAAAATGGTACCAACTGGGAGTGAAGGTATTTGATTTTTTCATCTATATATCTTCGAAACACGAGGCCATGTAATGCTCACTATTTTTTCTTAGAATCTCACAGAGCATTCACAGTATTACATAGTTTAATATCGAGTCAACTCCCGGGAATATTGTTTTGATTGTCATCCTCATCTTATTTTGATCATTAGTATCATTATTTTTCTTGTAAAAGCGAGATTCAAGAGATTCACGTCTCATCATCACAGCAAGCCTGTGTTGTTGGTATGTAAGCCAGCTTTGTTTCAAATCCTCAGATTCTCATTCCCTCTTCAATTGCACCCTTTTCTGCCGCTTTTTGTGGTGTTTTCGATTTGAATTTACATGAAGGATGACTAGTTCCATGTCTAGGTTTGTTTTACCCTTGTAATTCCCGTCACGACATGCAGAAGCGTGTCAGCCAAGCTGTATATTTAACTGTTGACTATTTTAGCGTCATTACCTCTTCAATTGCATCCTTTCTGTCTCTCTTTGCGGTGTTTTCGATTCGAATTTACATGAAGGATGACTAGTTCCATGTCTAGGTTTGTTTTACCCTTGTAATTCCCGTCAAGACATGCAGAAGCGTGTCAGCCAAGCTGTATATTTAACTGTTGACTATTTTAGCGTCATTACCTCTTCAATTGCATCCTTTCTGTCTCTCTTTGCGGTGTTTTCGATTCGAATTTACATGAAGGATGACTAGTTCCATGTCTAGGTTTGTCTTTTCCGTCAGGATATGCAGAAGCGTGTCAGACAAGCTATATATTCAGCTGTTGACTGATTTTAGCGTCGGTGGGTTATGAGGTTTCATTTCTTTTACTAAAAATACGAAAGTTAAACTAAAGGCAGAGCAAACATCAGCGTAGCAATAAATCCTTTACGCGCTCACTCGCTTCTGTGCCATCTCACTGGTCAAACCAAGTATCTTTCTGAGATTATCTCGATAGTTAACGCTGACATAATCATCTCTCGGAGACCTCTCGCTTCTGTGTTGTCTCAAATTTCAATCTTTGCTTCTTTCCGAGAAAGTCTTGATAAATTATGTTGACGTCATTTTCTCGGAAAACAATTTGTATTTGTAAAAGACTCGTCGACATTATCTTACTATTCTACAGAGGAAAACATTGGCGGAGGGTCTGAGGGAACCAAAGACACACGAATCTTTCCTACAGTCCTCTCTGTCACTTTTTGGCCGTGTTTTCGATTTGAATTTACGTGAAGGATGACTAGTTCCAAGTCTAAGTTTACCCTTGTAATTTCCGTCAGAACATGCAGAAGCGTGTCAGCCAAGCTATATATTAACTGTTGACTGATTTTAGCGTAATTACCTCTTCAATTGCATCCTTTCTGTCTCTCTTTGCGGTGTTTTCGATTCGAATTTACATGAAAGATATGACTAGTTCCATGTCTGGGTTTGTCTTTTCCGTCGGAATATTCACAAGCATGTCAGCCAAGCTATAAATTCAGCTGTTGACTGATTTTAGCGTCGTTGGGTTATGTGGTTTTATTTCTTTTACTAAAAATACGAAAGTTAAACGAAAGGCAGAGCAAGCATCAGCATAGCAATAAATCCTTTACGCGCTGACTCGCTTCTGTGCCATCTCGCTGGTCAAACCAAGTATCTTTCTCACATTATCTCGATAATTAACGCTGACATAATAATCTCTCAGAGACCTCTCGCTTCTGTGTTGTCTCACATGTCAATCTTTGCATCTTTCCGAGAAAATCTTGATAAATTATGCTGACGTCATTTTCTCGGAAAACAATTTGTATTTGTAAAAGACTCGTCGACCCTATTTTACTATTCCACAGAGGAAAACACTGGCGGAGGGTCTGAGGGAACCAAAGACATACGAATCTACAGTCCTTTCTGTCACTTTTTGGTGGTGTTTTCGATTTGAATTAACGTGAAGGATGACTAGTTCCATGTCTAGGTTTGTCTTACCCTTGTAATTTCCGTCAGAACATGTAGAAGCGTGTCAGCCAAGCTATATATTCAACTGTTTACCAATTTTAGCGTCAGTGAGTGACGCCGTAATAAAGTAATTCTGCCCATAGCCTCGTGTTATTGTGACAGTTAAGGGAGATAAATCTTGATATTTCAAGTCTTTTTTTGCGACAAGGAAAATAAGTGTCAACACCAGTGAGCCAAAACTAAGTAGAGTGGAAGAATGCACTGAAATAACTAGAATGGAAAATTGCGGAGAACATTAATGTGGATTTTCAGTCGTTTGTCTCAAGACATAGAGTCGGTATAGATTGTAGAGTCAAGCTATCAGTTGAAATTAGTGACCTTTTATCTGCAAAACGACTAGCCCTCGCTGAGCGCGTTATAATCACAATGATGAACTGATTCATATTTCACCAAAATAATTTTCAAATTGCAAACTTAAAAAAAAAAATTTAAATCAAATCAAGCTTTGTGCACCAGTCGTGACGTTCAGATCCCTCTAAAATGTTTAATCATTCATTTATCTATTTTTTCACCTACTGGGAGGTCAGAATCATAACGCAGAGTGCGGAAAAACAACCAAAACGTATAGTCACTCCGTGAAAACGTGAAGAACATCTCAATTATCTTTATCGTTAGCTTTGAACTGGAAGTTCGTAATTCCCTGATTGTCGGGTGAAACCAGCGTAACTTCAGCTTTTAGATTTTCCCATGAAGGATGCTGGGTGATCGCCTGACTCTTCGAACTAATTATAAACACGGACCGCGCGAGACTTGATTCAGCCTATGGAAAAGAAGTCTCTCTCTCTCGCTATAATTCCTATCCAAACTGTCAGTGAAAACAAGCCAAATGAATGAAAGACCCATTTTTTAATAGATCTTCTGTTATCATCAATATTTTAACAAAAAAGTTATATTGGTTGAAGGGGGCTACGCCATTCCTTTGAAATACATTTATTGATTAAAAAGATCAAGAAACGAGCCAAAAAACAAACAGAATTCTGACTCAGACAAGCACATAAACAACACTTGACCTTCAAAGTATCAAGTTATAAGTAGCTATCTTGTTCCATAATATCTCCAGGCGTATCCCAAAGCAAACTACATATTTACACCTCTCTCATTTTAGTCCATCAGCGTCTCTCTCCTTGTCCTTGTCCTTGTCTCCAAAAGAAAAAAAAAACTGGTACACACATTCCATGCAAGAAGTAGCATATTTCCGGAAAAAGTAAAAAAAAGTACTAAAAGAAAACTGACTTATAACTAGCGCATATGCCGGATATTTATTTATTTGGAAACCTCAATATTTACCTCTGTGGTTACAGGTGCTGTTTTTATTTCTCAAAATTCTTTCTTTACTTTTTCATCCCTCTCGTTCTTACCCGATGAAACATGGAATTAAATTAATAAATGAAATGGAAGAACTGAAACGAAGTGGAGAAAAATTGATGAACGATGTGACTAAGAATTGTCGAAATGTTTTTAAACAAACGCTCTTTTGAGTGTTTTATTATATTGTGAACAATTAGATCGTTGTTGATCTCTGCCCTTGCGTTCGATTGTTTTAATTAGTTTTTAAAAAAAATTACCCCTTTGTGGAGTCGTCGTTCCTACATTATAGACATTTACGTGTCATCTACACAACATAACATTGGCCAAATTTTTCGAAAACGAATCGGTAATAACATGGTATAAGACAGGGTGAATAAGCCAAAATTCTGTAGTATTGCAAAAAAACAAAAAAATGCCACACTCAGCTTTTTTGAAAACTTTACATAGGAAGTTCGTTATGCTCTTTGATCTCGGGGGAATTCTAACTTCTGTTGGCTATTCCCAGTCGATCACATTCAAATCATATCCGCGGGACTTTCCCTGAGTAATGATTATTTTACACCCATCATGATCGGAAAATATACGGATATCGTATGCCTTTTTCCCCTAAAGATTAATTCAGGAATTGTAGTGCAAACTGATAAATTATACAAGAAATCATAAGTACTTTAAACTTGCTTGGATTCATAGCTCTATATTTTCAGCTCCTAAGATGAGTGACGCCAAACTTCTCTCAGTCTATGGAAATCGAAGTCTCCCGATGATTCCTTCTATGGCCAGTAATTCCCGAATTGAATTTTCATAGCCCATAAAATCGTCTAGTAGCAAAGACACCTGTCATGAGTTAGGACCAAAATTATAAGTTTGTTTTGAGGGTCGGTTTAATTTACAACATGCTAAAAAATTCCTATAGCTATGTAAACAATGTACGGCACTTTCCACGGTTTACCGGCGTAAGATCCCACGCGGGTTGTTGGGAAAAGACGATAGAAGTTTGTAATCACAAACCGGAGGCAAGCGATTGACAAACTCAATTTTTGAGTGTTATCACATCATCTCGTTTATAACGACGGTTAGCCGATAGAAAGTGCGGTGTATTGCTTTTACAAAATACACTTAAAGCAAAACACTGGATTTCATGAAGTGTCATACACTGGTTGGAAATAAACAAGTTACAAAAGACTTTCAGGTTTCCAGCTTATGATGGAGAGGATGTTTATATGTCGATCCCAGTTTCCTTAATTAAACCAACTTAGTATTTGGAATTTATTGATTGATCCATAAATTAAGGTAGAGGTGGTAATATTAGTGGTAAAATCGTCCCAGGCATTTATTTATCGGACCTCAAGCCAAAGACAGAATGAAAAGGCTCTTTCTTCTCTGAGTCGCTGTTAAGTACGGTGGCTGACGATGACTGTCATTAATGAAATCATAGGATTTTTTTATTCAGAGATCAGAAACACGACAAAATATTCTGGCAAAGAAAAGAGTGCAAATAGAAAAATAAAGATGGTAAATTTTAACTTCGGTTGTCGCGTGAAGCAAATGCTCGCGTTTTGAAAAACAATCGTTTGTGGAAGGAAATATTACAACCAATGACTATTAAGCATTTTGAATTGAACAACATTATTTATGCGTTCCCTCTAGATTGGAGACAAAATATCAGACAAAACCCAAACAATTTATCAAATCAAATTGGAAATAATAGTAATGGTTGAGAAAACAAGGCACTGTTATTATCTTTAGAATATATTTTCGCAAAGCACCCAATATAATGCTTAGCACCACGATGTTTCATGGGGTAACAGTAATCATGATATCAGAGTAAAGTGAAGGGAAGGCTCAAAACATAAACGAAAGAAAAGAAATTCGCCTTCGGCGTTTAAATTTCGTTAATAAGTAGAGAGATGTTAATATATTTTATTGCCGGGAGCATAAACTCCAAGGCTAATTACCTCTGACGCAGAATCGTCGCACGCGATTGGAATATCAAGGAATACTTCTTAATCCTGTTAATTGATAACTCAGATTGAACCATGATGGCCTGTATTTCAATGTATGCACGGCTATGTAAACATGCATATCATAACATTAGTTGCATTCTAGCAAGAGTTCCGGTTGAGGAAACTAGCAAACTGAATAGTCACCAGCGCCCCTGAGTCTTCTTCCGGTATCAATTACTGGTTGAAACAAACAGCTTTGACTCTCTAACCCCTAAGAGTGATCAGCAACTAATTTCTCCTATCAGTATCCTCCTAAAACAAACATTGAGGTCGAGAGTAAATTTAATAACCACCAACTAAAGAAGCTGTTGATTGTTCAACAAATTCTCTTTGTCAGCGCCATAGGAAATGTATACTGATCTTAGGGTGTTAAAGATTAAGTTTCCACGAAAGCATTATCATGATTTTTAATGACACGGTTTTTCTGAGAATCGACTGTGCCTTTTAAATAACTGAGTATCATGGCTCGTAAACAGTTTCAGAGAGAAGACAAATTCTCTTTGTCAGTACCACGGGAAATATATAGAGAACATTACGGAGAAAATGTATACTGATCTTAGGGTGAAAGGGTTAAGTTTCCAAGAAAGCATTATCATAATTTATGCTGACATGATTTTTCCGAGAATCGACTGTGTTATTTAAATACCTGGGTATCACATAGCTCGTAAACAGTTTCCGAAAGAAGACAAAGCAAGAAGATTCGTGCAATTGGCAAGGAGTAATTCGCGCTTTTGATTCCCGCTCAATTACAATGTAAGTTATATACTATGTATATCTCTCTCCTATTTGTATTATATACAGAGATAAGGTGAAATATTTCTTTGAGCTGGTATCAAGACCTTCTTAAAAGGTAAAATATTCAGTCGGTAAAACCGTTCCACACTAATGACCTGAAAAGGGGAATTGGAAAAGTTATCAAACTCTGAAAAGTTATCAAAATACGACAGTTTAATGAAGTCCAAGGGTGGCAGACATTAAAATCTCCTATCGGGTACGAAATTGGTTGAAGATAATTCAAGCTAGCCGATGGTAATGTTCTGCAAAGTTACCAAGCAAACCGTTTGTGATACAAGGCTTCATTACTGCATTGAGAAAACAGAGTAAGAAACAAATAGACTTCAACAGATAAACATCTTCAGTATTTACGTATACCCCGCTATTTCAGTTTTCTACAGACTTGTAACGTATTTTGTGAACAAAGGTTTATTCTTTGTATTGTGCGAAGCGAATAACGCACATTTTGAATCGTTGAGGAAAATATGCAAGTTATGAACATTTAATAACTATTCTTGTTACCAACTGAACCAGAGTGGGGGTTGTGAGTAGCTTTTTCTGAACAAAAGCTACAAACAGCGGTTTCTTTGTTGTCGTAGTGAAAACTGCTACAATGGCTGATAAAGGCGGTCAGAAATCAGAAGGGAAACCGAAGAAGGAGATGGACAAAGAAGCAGCAGCACGTATTCAGAGCGCTGAAGCGAAAAAAAATGACGGTAAAGTTGAAAAAGGAACCGTTGCCCCCGCGTTCAGCGCGCGGCAGCCAAGAATGAAGCAGCGAAGGACGAAGAAGGGAAATGAGCCTGAATCAGATAACAAGCCCTGATGATATAACAATTAACAATTAATGATTACGAAACTGGTGTTATAATTCCTTTGATCATTGTCTTATCTGTGTCTCAACTCTTAGAGTTGAGTGCTAAGGGACTTTCATATACTATTAATAAAACGGAAGTTAGATCAGTTTTCCGAATGATTGAGTGAATCTTATTACGGCAAATCCCTTTGGAGTTCACCCTCTCAGAATTACTCGAGAGTGGAGATAATGTCGACGAGAATCTTATGAACTTTTTTTTTGCGTCTGAGCCAAGTAACACATCCCAAAATTTGCTTTTAACTGTCCTTTTCAGTCTATCTTTATTTCACTGAGTTATGCTCAAGCACAGCACCGGCTCTTGGAGTCCAACGTAAAAAGAAATATGAAGATACTCAGCAACAGCTGTTAAACATATGATATAATTGGTCTTAACCTGCTAACAATTGAAAGTCACATGGCATGAATTATGTTGGAATAAAAGAACAAAAAAAGGGAACTTAATCAATAATGTAAGCTTGATGTTTCTTTGTTTTGGATGTCTCGTTGGGCTGTTTGTTTCCTAGCAAGGACGAATTTCTTAGAAGTACCCGCACGTGTTCAAAGCAGCATGCTTGGCTCTTCCTAGAGTTAGGACTGACTCTGCTGAGAGCAATATTTTTATCTAAATGTTAAGCTTAGCAATAAATCGTTTACGCGCTCACTTCCGTGTTATCTCACCAATCAAACCAAGTATCTCTACAAGATCATCTTGATATTATATGCTGACATAAGCATTTCTCGGAACTCTCTCGCTTCTGTGTTGTCTCACATGTCAATCCAAGCATCTTTCCGAGAAAATCTAAATAAATTATGCTAACGTCATTTTCTCGGAAAACAATTTGTATTTGTCAAAGACTCGTTGACAATATTTTATCATTCTACAGATCGAGTCAACTCCTAGAAATATCATTTTAATTATCATCTTCATCTTATATTGACCATTAGTATCATTATTTCTCTAGTAAAAAGCGAGATTCAAGACATTCGCGTCTCATCATCACAATAAGCCTGTGTTGTTGGTATCTAAGCCCGCTTTATTTCAAATCCTCAGATCCTCGTTCCCTCCTCAATTGCACCCTTTCTGCCACTTTTTGCAGTGTTTTCGATTCGAATTTACGTGAAGGATGACTAGTTCCATGTCTTGGTTTGTCTTACCCTGGTAATTCTTGTCAGGACGTGCAGAAGCGTGTCAGCCAAGCTATATATATTCAACTGTTGACTGATTTTAACGTCGGTGGGTAAAGCCGTTTTATTTCTTTTACTGAAAATACGAAAGTTAAACAAAAGGCAGAGCAAACCTCAGTATAGCAATAAATCGTTTACGCGCTCACTCGCTTCTTGTCATCTCACTGGTCAAACCAAGTATCTTCTGAGATTATCTCGATAATTTACGCTGACATATAATCATTTTTCGAAACCCTCTCGATTCTTTTTGTCTCACATGTCAATCTTACCTTCTTTCCGAGAAAACCCATATAAATTATGCTGACGTCATTTTCTCGGAAAACAATTTGTATTTGTGAAAGACTCGTTAACAATATTCTATCATTCTACAGAGGAAAACATTGGTGGAGGGTCTGAGAAAACCAAAGACATACGAGTCTTTTCTACACTCACATAATGTAAGTCAATACTTAGTTGCCTTAATCATTTGCTTTTGCAGTTTCAGTTCGCAATATTCCTCCCAAGAATGCAGTCAAATCCAATGAAAGGAGAACTAGAGGCCGCCGAATGCACTAGTACATGGATAGGATAGCTTCCAAAAATGGTAAACCGTTCAAATTTTTTATATCACGCGCCGTCGAGCTTTTCTCGCAATACACACGCAATCTTAAGTTCATTTAGTTTACTAAATTACAAGGATCGCGTGTCTCTTCGAAAACGAAAGCGCTTTGAAATGCATCTTATGAAAATCTTTAAGATAGCCTTCACTCGCCATCGATCACGGCGATCTTGACGGTGAAAATGAAGTCGTGTCTTCTTCTTGACTGAATCGTACGAAAAATCTAGAGGATCCTTGGTTAAGTTTGTGTATCAAGCCTCTCAGGTACAGAATAGACTTCTTAGAGTAGGAGGAAGGTTTTATTCGATGTTAGCATTGTTGACAATGCATATCAGGATGGATGAGAAACGCGTGGATGTGGACATTTCAAAGGAAAATCTTCGATTTCGAATACTCTTTTATCAAGCGCGCTTTTGATAGTTTTACATCTCTCAACTAAGATAAAACTGAGCAAAGCCTTTTACTATCTGAAGATCGATCCCACAGAGCTGTTTCGTAAGACAACCCTAAAGGTTGAATCGACCTGAAAGTGCTTTGAAATTCATATATTCCACTGCATGATATCCTTATTTCTTTCCGCCTCAAATAATGATGTGCACACGAAAGACACTCATCGTAAAACCGATCACTACATGACGTTTATTTCTTTCTCTTTTTCCGCCACAAATGAATTTGACTTTAGAAGCAAGAGAACTAAAGAACCATGGACAAGCAAGGAACTCAAAGCTCTGGAGGAAACGCACAGCCCAAAAATCCGATGAATAAAGAAGCGGCGTCAAGGATTCAGGGTTCAGAAGCAAAACCAGAACAAAAACAGACGGCGGCGGGGTTCCTAAAGAGACGGCGGTGGTTTTCATCGCGCGCTCAGTCTACTGCAGACAAGCGGGAAAACCAGAACAACTAAGCCTGTGGAACTGCTTTTAAACTCAAAGGGAGCATGATTTCGTTTATCATCATTTGTGAGAGACATTTGATGGTCTTTGTTTTTTGAGGGTTGTTCTTAAACTATGATTTGAATTTCTTGCTGATTAAGCATTATTTACTAGTAGTAGTGGCAGTTTTTAGAGCGTCGAAGGAAAACTCGTTTGACGATTTAGGAAATTGATTGAAGTACATCGAAAGCAAATGAAATAAAATGGTACCAACCGGGAGTGAAGGTATTTGATTTTTTCATCTATATATCTTCGAAACACGAGGCCATGTAATGCTCACTATTTTTTCTTAGAATCTCACAGAGCATTCACAGTATAACATAGTTTAATATCGAGTCAACTCCTGGGAATATTGTTTTGATTGTCATCCTCATCTTATTTTGATCATTAGTATCATTATTTTTCTTGTAAAAGCGAGATTCAAGAGATTCACGTCTCATCGTCACAGCAAGTCTGTGTTGTTGGTATGTAAGCCAGCTTTGTTTCAAACCCTCAGATTCTCATTCCCTCTTCAATTGCACTATTTTCTGCCGCTTTTTGTGGTGTTTTCGATTTGAATTTACACGAAGGATGACTAGTTCCATGTCTAGGTTTGTTTTACCCTTGTAATTCCCGTCAAGACATGCAGAAGCGTGTCAGCCAAGCTGTATATTTAACTGTTGACTATTTTAGCGTCATTACCTCTTCAATTGCATCCTTTCTGTCTCTTTTTGTGGTGTTTTCGATTTGAATTTACATGAAGGATGACTAGTTCCATGTCTAGGTTTGTCTTTTCCGTCAGGATATGCAGAAGCGTGTCAGCCAAGCTATATATTCAGCTGTTGACTGATTTTAGCGTCGGTGGGTTATGTGGTTTCATTTCTTTTACTAAAAATACGAAAGTTAAACTAAAGGCAGAGCAAACATCAGCGTAGCAATAAATCCTTTACGCGCTCACTCGCTTCTGTGCCATCTCACTGGTCAAACCAAGTATCTTTCTGAGATTATATCGATAGTTAACGCTGACATAATCATCTCTCGGAGACCTCTCGCTTCTGTGTTGTCTCACATTTCAATCTTTGCTTCTTTCCGAGAAAATCTTGATAAATTATGCTGACGTCATTTTCTCGGAAAACAATTTGTATTTGTAAAAGACTCATCGACATTATCTTACTATTCTACAGAGGAAAACACTGGCGGAGGGTCTGAGGGAACCAAAGACACACGAATCTTTTCTACAGTCCTCTCTGTCACTTTTTGGCCGTGTTTTCGATTTGAATTTACGTGAAGGATGACTAGTTCCAAGTCTAGGTTTACTCTTGTAATTTCTGTCAGAACATGCAGAAGCGTGTCAGCCAAGCTATATATTAACTGTTGACTGATTTTAGCGTAATTACCTCTTCAATTGCATCCTTTCTGTCTCTCTTTGCGGTGTTTTCGATTCGAATTTACATGAAAGATATGACTAGTTCCATGTCTGGGTTTGTCTTTTCCGTCGGAATATTCACAAGCATGTCAGCCATTGACGTCATTTTCTCGGAAAACAATTTGTATTTGTAAAAGACTCATCGACATTATCTTACTATTCTACAGAGGAAAACACTGGCGGAGGGTCTGAGGGAACCAAAGACATACGAGTCTACAGTCCTTTCTGTCACTTTTTGGTGTTGTTTTCGATTTGAATTAACGTGAAGGATGACTAGTTCCATGTCTAGGTTTGTCTTACCCTTGTAATTTCCGTCAGAACATGTAGAAGCGTGTCAGCCAAGCTATATATTCAACTGTTTACCAATTTTAGCGTCAGTGAGTGACGCCGTAATAAAGTAATTCTGCCCATAGCCTCGTGTTATTGTGACAGTTAAGGGAGATAAATCTTGATATTTCAAGTCTTTTTTTGCGACAAGGAAAATAAGTGTCAACACCAGTGAGCCAAAACTAAGTAGAGTGGAAGAATGCACTGAAATAACTAGAATGGAAAATTGCGGAGAACATTAATGTGGATTTTCAGTCGTTTGTCTCAAGACATAGAGTCGGTATAGATTGTAGAGTCAAGCTATCAGTTGAAATTAGTGACCTTTTATCTGCAAAACGACTAGCCCTCGCTAAGCGCGTTATAATCACAATGATGAACTGATTCATATTTCACCAAAATAATTTTCAAATTGCAAACTTAAAAAAAAAAATTAAAATCAAATCAAGCTTTGTGCACCAGTCGTGACGTTCAGATCCCTCTAAAATGTTTAATCATTCATTTATCTATTTTTTCACCTACTGGGAGGTCAGAATCATAACGCAGAGTGCGGAAACGTGTCTCAGCGAGTCAACTGCATACGTAGTTTTCCAAATTTGTTTATAATAGGAATAAAATGAAGCAAAACAGCCAAAACGTATAGTCACTCCGTGAAAACGTGAAGAACATCTCAATTATCTTTATCGTTAGCTTTGAACTGGAAGTTCGTAATTCCCTGATTGTCGGGTGAAACCAGCGTAACTTCAGCTTTTAGATTTTCCCATGAAGGATGCTGGGTGATCGCCTGACTCTTCGAACTAATTATAAACACGGACCGCGCGAGACTTGATTCAGCCTATGGAAAAGAAGTCTCTCTCTCTCGCTATAATTCCTATCCAAACTGTCAGTGAAAACAAGCCAAATGAATGAAAGACCCATTTTTTAATAGATCTTCTGTTATCATCAATATTTTAACAAAAAAAGTTATATTGGTTGAAGTGGGCTACGCCATTCCTTTGAAATACATTTATTGATTAAAAAGATCAAGAAACGAGCCAAAAAGCAAACAGAATTCTGACTCAGACAAGCACATAAACAACACTTGACCTTCAAAGTATCAAGTTATAAGTAGCTATCTTGTTCCATAATATCTCCAGGCGTATCCCAAAGCAAACTACATATTTACACCTCTCTCTCATTTTAGTCCATCAGCGTCTCTCTCCTTGTCCTTGTCTCCAAAAGAAAAAAAAACTGGTACACACATTCCATGCAAGAAGTAGCATATTTTCGGAAAAAGGAAAAAAAAGTACTAAAAGCGGACTGACTTATAACTAGCGCATATGCCGGATATTTATTTATTTGGAAACCTCAAGATTTACCTCTGTGGTTACAGGTGCCGTTTTTATTTCTCAAAATTCTTTCTTTACTTTTTCATCCCTCTCGTTCTTACCCGATGAAACATGGAATTAAGTTAATAAATGAAATGGAAGAACTGAAACGAAGTGAAGAAAATTGATGAACGATGTGACTAAGAATTGTCGAAATGTTTTTAACCAAACGCTCTTTTGAGTGTTTTATTATCTGGTGAACAATTAGATCGTTGTTGATCTCTGCCCTTGCGTTCGATTGTTTTAATTAGTTTTAAAAAAAATTACCCCTTTGTGGAGTCGTCGTTCCTACATTATAGACATTTACGTGTCATCTACACAACAGAACATTGGCCAAATTTTTCGAAAACGAATCGGTAATAACATGGTATAAGACAGGGCGAATAAGCCAAAATTCTGTAGTATTGCGAGAAAACAAAAAAATGCTACACTCAGCTTTTTTGATAACTTTACACAGGAAGTTCGTTATGCTCTTTGATCTCAGGGGAATTCTAACTTCCGTTGGCTATTCCCAGTCGATCACATTAAAATCATATCCGCGGGACTTTCCCTGAGTAATGATTATTTTACACCCATCATGATCGGAAAATATACGGATATCGTATGCCTTTTTCCCCTAAAGATTAATTCAGGAATTGTAGTGCAAACTGATAAATTATACGAGAAATCATAAGTACTCTAAACTTGCTTGGATTCATAGCTTTATATTTCCAGTTCCTAAGATGAGTGACGCCAAACTTCTCTCAGTCTATGGAAATCGAAGAAGTCTCCCGATGATTCCTTCTATGGCCAGTAATTCCCGAATTGAATTTTCATAGCCCATAAAATCGTCTTGTAGCAAAGACACCTGTCATGAGTTAGGACCAAAATTATAAATTTGTTTTGAGGGTCGGTTTAATTTACAACATGCTAAAAAATTCCTATAGCTATGTAAACAATGTACGGCACTTTCCACGGTTTACCGGCGTAAGATCCCACGCGGGTTGTTGGGAAAAGACGATAGAAATTTGTAATCACAAACCGGAGGCAAGCGATTGACAAACTCAATTTTTGAGTGTTATCACATCATCTCGGTTATAACGACGGTTAGCCGATAGAAAGTGCGGTGTATTGCTTTTACAAAATACACTTAAAGCAAAACACAATATTTTTCAATTTTGTGGGAGTTTACGGTGCATTTTACCAATCAGGGTGCACGCGATATCAGTTATTTTATAAAGAATCCTAACAAACACGCACAAGGTCATGACCACAGGGTCTTAACCGGATGTAAAAAGCACCCGAGAAAACAAAATCCCCTAAGGCCTGGTTTTCTCCCTAACATAAGCCACTGATTTTAATTGGCTCTTTGCTCGGAAAAATATTGCTGACATACTGACAGAAGATGGTGTTATGTTTACTCAGAAACGTATAAAACACTTGCATTTAGCAAGAAAGACACCAGACTGATAGCGTCAGAAATTCAGAGTAAAGTCACATCCTGTCAGACCTCAATTTATTTCAGGTAAGTTCGTGCTTTTCTCTACTTAGCATTTAATATTAACACAGTGGTTAAACTTTGTATTATTAATACTGCATCGAAACAACTATAAATCAGATGGATAATATATAATTCGTTTCTGGGGAAAAATAAATTTTGATCAAGTTACATTTGTGAATCAATTAAAAAAGAAACAAAATGGCGAAGCTGAGATGTTCAACACACCAGTGCGATCGTCATCGGGATACTCAAACATAGGGCGGTGAAAAGGAATAATATTATAGTAGCATAGCATTATTATGAGAGACCACAATCAAATAAAATATTCGATGCGTGTCAAGAGATTATAGACTGTTTATTTGACAAATAAAGAATCCTTAACTATGTTCTGTCCTGCTGTAAAGCACGCAGGGAGCGGCTAAAGCACGAAAGAAGTGTAGGGAGAAACACGAGACGTAGTAGAACATTTCTCTCCACTCCTTGAATTTTCTCTTTGTTTCGTTTTCTCGTTTTCTCGGTGAGAATTTTCGTCTCCGCTCACATCATAATAACGTAAATTATGGCGCTTGACATGCTTACAAACCTTTGTTTGGTTCTTCTAGATTTGTTGCTACTTGCCCGCTCGCTTGTTACGAAATTTCACTTTCAATTCACCAAAAAAGGCTAGAGAGAAGTCCGGGAAAAGGTCGGACATAGTACAATTTGGCAGATGGCGTGACAGCTTTAGCTGAGCTCTATGTTTGTACTCTGATAGAGCACGTTCTATCAACCAAAATCTCTCGATGCGTGTTAAATACGAGTACATTCGAGTTTTAGCGCTCACAGTAAAAGAAAAAATGATTCTGTATGTCATAGTCCCAGGATTGCTAAATTCTTGGCATGGGTGTTCTTAACCAGAGAAAACGTTCTATAATAGGAAAAGTGCTCTTATAAAAAAAAAAAAAAGAAGAAAGACTTTAATGTTCATAAAACTTGATCAGTGGTATTGTTTTTAAACTAGTTCCTAAATCTCTTTGATTATTTGTCTGTTTAATGGTGACCCGTAAAGCATATCTTATACATCCTGATTGCACTAATTTCCACATTTTTTATTATTATTCTGTAGCAAGGTGCAAGTTTAAGGCGTGAGGAATGGATAACAATAGAGGCTCCGCAAACTTGAATGACGAACAGAAAAATTCCTTGGAGAAAGCCACTCCAGCCTGTGTTACTACCCAGAGCAACAAAGAGGCAAAGCTGTATGTGGTACCAGAGCTAAAAACACTAGCTTTGCTCCGCATACTCAGTTCCCTGCAAATGAAACAAGAAACAGAGGCCTTGAAAAGTAAAGCCGGAGATGAAAGTAGAAAGTAATGCGTGATGCTCACAACGTTGCTAAATTTTCATTTATCCTCAATAGCCTCATCATTTGGTTTTCCTACTACTTCAGAGCGACGAACATTGTCGGGGTATAGTTATACATACCAGGATTACTGTCTTAGTCGGGAACTCAATCATGAAAGTCACCGCCTACCTACTTTTTAATTTTCTGCCTGTGTAAAGATGCAGCTGGTTGATATTTTATTGCTTTATTTTTATTTTTCTTGCTGTCTTAATGGGAGTCAAATGTAGAGAGGGTGGTTTTCAAATAGAAAAGAAAGCAGAATTCTGAGGAAGAGGGCAATGCAAAGTTAACTTATCACTATTAGAACTCCAATTCAGTTTTTCCGAATGATTGACAGATAATAGCTGAAAGGAAAACGGCATTTTTAGTGCAGCTAATTAAGAATCAGAGATAAGAGCATCCACTCCACGATTGTTATCGTAAGAAAAAAATCCATCTTCAAAACAGCTTAAAATAGAGAATCAACATAAGCACATCAAAGAAGTGGAAATGAATAGTTTCTAAAATCCTCGAATAGAGGTTTAAAGCTTTTTGTTTTTACGGGAGATGTTATATCATTGAAGCAGGCAAGTTTACTGGCTTTGAACAATTTGTTAGAAATAAGAGGTCCATTTGTAATTTGTTTTCCTTTTTAAAGGAGTTTGGGTAAACTCGAGAAGTGATAAACTATGGCGGCAAGGTCTAACTTGACACGCACTACGCCGGAAAGTCAGATGTAGAAATAGAGTTGACGATTTTATCGCGATTAATCACCAAGATTGTCGGTGACCATAACAAAAGGATTACATTTGCTACCTTTCTTTTGTAGTTTGACTCATGTTCGTGTTCCGTTTTTTTGATGCAATACATATCCAGAAGTTTGATAATTCAGTCTCCCTCTCTCTTTTTGGAACGAATTTCTTCTTTTTCCAACAATGCAACATTCTTTTGATATACTCTGAATAAGCAAAAGCCTTTATACAAGAGATCTCAATTACCTTAATCGTTTTAGAAGCATCAAAAGAAACAAACTAAAATAGGAAAATTTCCACATACTTGTAAAAGATTGTCCATGGGCGTAAATATGATAACAAAGATGGCAAGAGGGGATCAAGATGGTAAATGTTGCACTCGGTAATGAAACATAGAAAGATCTTTTCATCGTCTCGTCACGAACATGTAACGACGGCTGAGAAGCAACCTGGCTTTTCACAAAGGTTTCAAATTCCTCAACCGTTTCATAAGCAATAAAAGGAGAAAATAAAACTGACTAATATTCTAAAATTTCCCACAGACGTGTAAAGGATTTTCCATAACTTCTCTCCACCCATTTAAACTCGCTTTACCTCATCTTAACCAAGTTAGAGTTTTTAGACAAATTAAATCTTACGAACATACCTTACTGATAACGAAGCAATAGGTATCCTTTAAAACATAGGTTAGAGTCAAATTTGACCAAAGGTGGTTTTCCCAATGAATAAGAAAACAACAAGCCAAGGAATGGTGATAGAAAATAAACACATCACTATCAAGACTCGAAATTAGCTTTCCAAATGTCTGACATATGATATCTAGATGTCCGAAGACGTTTTGAGTGCAGCTGAACAGAAAAAACAGGTAAGCTGTTCTTAACCTGTGCGTCGTTAATTCAAAGAAAATTCCGTATCTAAGTGAACCCAAACCGCCGGCAAAACAACTTCGTCTGGACAATCAATACCTGAATATCAAGTAATTGGAGATGAATGGTTTCTAGAAACCTTGAATGGAGTTTTGAAAGCTTTTGGTGTTTACAGGTGAAGTTATGTCACTGAAGAAGGAAATTTGACTGGCCGAGAAACCATTTCAAAATTGAAATACAAAGCGTTTTCTTAAATCTTTTAATTATGGTCACAAAATTTCCTTTTTTCCTTTAAAAAAACTTCGTTAATCGATTTTTCATTTCTTATGTAATTTTCTTTTATTAAAAATAAACTTCTCTTGAAAACTTAGTTCTTCATTATATTCAGTTCAAGGAATTGCCCATCTCAACTCGAGTTGTTAATGACAGCTTTGGATTATATTTCCAATGAAGTATTCGCACGATAACTGCGTAGAAGTTTTATGAGCAGAAATCGTTACAGCGAAGGTAAATACTGTGCATCTTTTAACATGTAGTTGTATAAAGATTGCGTTGTTGAAAGTTAGTCATAATTTCTTAATTAAAGACTTTATTTTCTTACAAGGTAGGCCATTAGTAAAGCAAACATACTGGACAGGACTTCAAAAGTATAATAATGAATTAGACGGTTTAATTTTTTGAAAGCTAATATAGTTGTAATATCATGTCATAAGTTAAAAACTATTTTCATAAATAAGACATTAATTGACAGCCTTGCGTGCGTTTCACTGTCTCACAGGCGGGATCGTAAAGGACGTAATTAGAGCATGTTAAGTTGAGTGCAGCTGAACCAGGAGAAATTTACGTAACCATTTTGCGCATCCCAGATCATATAAAAACTTAAAGTCAATATGCGATATTCAAAGGATAGGGTTTAAAGGTTTTTTTGTTACCTATAATCTTTGTTTTGTTCGAGACGATCTTGTCCCGGAGTTTTTGCCTTCATTTACATAATTCAAATAAACGAATCCAAACTTCTGAAGGCTGTATTTTAAACGTATGGAAATATATACGTAATGAAGCAATTCAAGTGAGGAATTATTATCATATTGCGTTACTTGCTCTCGAATGGGGTAGGGGGTGGGGGAGCATAATAAAAGGAGTAATTTAAACCGGGCATGCAGAACTTTGGAGTACTCGCTCTATGCACGATCATTCACCCACCTCGGGAAGAAGTCCTTCTTTGCTTTTTTAAAGTATATTTCTCAAAAAATACACGCGTGTTTAGAACGTCACAACCGTGTTTAGACTGTAAACATAGACTCTGAAACACTCTCATTGATCACGCACTTCAATTCTTTAAAACAGCAGGAGTCTTACATCTGTTTTCCAAACAATCCCAAACGTAAGCATTATAAACCCAGTTGCCCAAAAAACGAAGCCTATGGACTGAATGTTTCTTGAAGCCTTCAATGAAATGTACAAGAAGATTTTAATTTCGGCAAGATAATTTGTTCTTTTTGTCAAAATTGGTACTCATTGCTCTGAATTATCTGATCTAATACACTGAACTATAACACTCGTATATCGATGGTTTTGTCAGAAATTCCTTATTTGAACCAATCAGCCTTTTTAAAACTTAAGACTCCCAATTTCTATGTGGTTACAATGGCAACATTTTCTGCCTCGTTTAATGATTCTTCCCTCTTGTCTTCTACCAAACGCAATAAAACGCAGCGATAAAGGGGTTAAGGAAATCTTTTGACATCAAAAGATGCAAAACGCTCGTAAAATGCAAAACATCGTTTTACTGCGGTAGTTAGTTGTCTGTAATACAACAATTTGATAAGAGATCGTCCACCCATGCAGGATAACTCGAATAGTATCGGCATGAAACCTGTTTTAAAAATAATTGTAATATGAAAACCGCCGTCAATATCATACTGCAAGTAAACTTAATTATTCACCGGTTATGGTTATTCACCGGTTATTCATCCGGGTTTGTTAAAAGTCGCATTTATTTCGCTTCAAGTCAAGCTGTCGTGGAAATGTACACAACGTCGGGCTTATAAAAAGTTGAATAAACTGTTTTTATTCAAAGGCAAAACTATACTGTATCAATTGTCTGTTCGTATACCACCAGCGTAATTTTCTCTTACTCATGTTAAGATTTTAATGGAAACCAAACAATAAAGTGGAAATACATGTTTCTCGGCTAATACGTTAAAGTTATTTAAAAAACAAACTTCATCAATAGTTTTCTTACCATTAATCTACGCTCTTCTAAGGTTACGAAGTGGCAGGTTCGCTGGGGCGATACGAGAAAGGTCTGGGACCCTGTAAACTATTTGAAATAAACCTTCTCTGAATCCTGGCATCCGAACAGCGTAAATTATAGGATTTACAAGTGAGTTAGCTAAAAATAGAACTACCACACCCATATCCATATGAACATTCCTTAAACAAGTGGAGGAAAAGTGAAGACATACTCCATACATCATCACTGATAGAAGACAGAGTAGCGATACAAGTGTGACGATAAGCGCAGTACCCGTCAGTTTTCTTTCTCTTTTTGATCTAGAATAGAATTGAGGATGACTACATCGTACTTTGATAATAATAAGGATGTAAGATACACAGATAACAAATAGAGAAACTGCATAAAATAGGAAATACAAGTAAGTATCAATTACCACTACATCAAAAATTTCCAAAAAGAAAATTTGAGCGGCTTCTCTAACAATAGGTATTAACCAAATGACAATAATTATGGCTCTATAAACCCATTTCCTCACAAAGCGATGCCTGAATGGACAAAATGTTGCGTGTAGCCGTTCTAAGGAAATAGCAATAAGATTTGTAAGGGAAGTGAACGAGAATAAATGTACAAATGCAAAAGATAAACGATGAGACCAAACAGTCTTTCGTCTGTAATTCCATAAAGGACAGAGCTGCGACATTCCTATTTCAATCTGCAGCGGCCCAGAGACTGCGCCCACTAAGAGATCGACTATCGCCAGATGGATGATCAAATATGTACTCCGCCGCTGTAGCTGACGCTTCTTCTTCACAAAAACAACAATGGTGATGATATTAAGGATGACTATGGCCAGACATTCGATGATGAGGACCACAAGCCACGGAATACACTTTGAAGCTGAGTAAAGAGGCTGCATTTTCTCTGAGCTCTATTAACTGCTATGAAAATAACAGGAAACAGTTCAATTAGCTATAAAAATGAAGAAGTATGTCAAAGGTTGCTTTTTACGTTTTTTAACGTGTTTTGACCAACTAAGTTTCGTCCGTTGACTTAAACCGATCCTCGTCTTTTTTTTATGCGAGATTCATATCTGGAAATTTAATCATGTTCAGTTTCTTCCTGTTTTTTTCTTTCGAAAAAGACGAATTTAATGATATAAATCTCTTTCGATGTTCACTGAATAGGCGGAAAGCTTTGCCACTAATGATCTCAATTGCGTTCTCAGAAAAAATAAGAGATCCATTTAAACTTGTAATTTGTTTTTCTTTTAAAAGGAGTTTGGGGAAACTCGAGAAGTCATAAACTATGGCGGCTCTTGCGGCAAGGTGTTACTTGATTCGCACTGCGAAAATCAGATATAGAAATAGAGTTGACAATTTTCAACGCGATAAATCACCAATTAAGATTGTCGGTGACGATAACAACAGAATTATATTTGCTACCTTTCTTTTGTCCTTTGACTAGTTTTCGCGTTCCTTTTTTTCGGTGCAATACCTATCCAGAAGTTTGATAATTCCAGTCTCTGGAGCAAATTTCTCCTTTTTCCAACAATACAACATTCTTTTGATATACTCTGAATAAGCAAAAGCCTTTATACAAAAGATCTCAATCGCTTTAATCGTTTTGTAAGCATCAAACTGAAACAACTAAAATTCTAAAATTTTCCACGTACTTGTAAAATATTGTCGATGTGCGTAAATATGATAACAACGAGGGAAGGAAGGGATCAAGTCCTCTCTTCAACACGGTAAATGTACTCGAAACAAAGAAAGATCTTTTCATCGTCTCGTCACGAACGTGTAACGAAAGTCTTTTCACAAGAGGTGTCAAATTCATCAACCGTTTCATAAGCATTAAAAAAACGAAACAAAACTAAAATTTTCCTCAGGCTAACAAAGGATTTTCCCATAACTTCTCTCCACCAATTTTAATTCGCTTTACCTCATCTCACCAACACTAGAGTTTGTAAACGAATTAAATCTTACGAACATACCTCCGACTGATAACGATGTACTTCGTATCCTCTTAAAAATAAGTTAGAGTCAAATTTGACTGAAGGTGGTTTTCCCAATGAATAAGAAAACAACAAGCCAAGAATAGAGATAGAGAATAAACACACCGCTATCAAGAGTCGAAATTAGTTTTGCAAATGTCTGACATATGATATCGAGATGTCGGAACACGTTCTGAGTGCAGCTAAACAGGAACAACAGGTAACCTGTCCTACACCTGTACGTCGTTAATTCAAAGAAAGTTCCGTATCTAAATGAACTCAAAACGCCAGAAAACCAGTTTCGTCTGGAAAATTGATACCCGAATATCAAATAAATGAAGATGAATGGTTTCTAGAAACCTTGAATAGAGTTTTGAAAGCTTTTGGTGTTTACGATGAAGAAGGCAATTTAACTTGCTTAGCAAACATTTCAAAATTGAAATACGAGGCATTTTTTTAATGTTGTTAATTATGGTCCACAAAATATTCTTTTTCCCTTTAAAAAGCCTTCTTTGGTCGATTTTTTATTTGGTAATAATTTCTTTATTAAAGACTATATTTTCTTAGGGTCGATCCTAATTAAAGCAAACCTACTGGACAGAACTTCAAGAGTATCATCATAACTTCGACGGTCTAACTTTTTAAAACTAATACAGTCGTAATCTCATATCTTAAGTTAAAACTATTCCCATGAATAAAACATTTATTTACAGCCTTGCATTGACTGTCTCACAGGCGGGATCCTAAGGGAAGTAATTAGAGTATGTTAATTTTAGGGCAGCTGAACCAAAATTTTGGACGAAAGCATACACCTGTATTGCGTTAATTTGGAAAAAAGTCCGTTACTTTATCATAATCAAACTGCAAAATAGCACCGGAGATGAGCTATTTCCTAGATCATAGAGTTGAATTTTTTTATAAGCTGTTGGTTTTTACCTAAGAATATATGATATTAAAAGATAAAAATGATCCAGCCGACAAAACTTTAGAAAATAAAATAACACAGTGACATTCATTTGTTTTGATCTACCACTGCATTTGTATTTAATTTAACTCTGACTCCGGTGGAAAAAAAGGTAGTATTCTCTCCTCGTGATGATTTCGATTTTTTGATACTTGCTATTTGAAAATGGCAAGCTTAACTGCTTTCAATATCGCAACAATTTTAGAAATTCACTCGGCTATGCCAGAAACAATTCGTCCAAGATTTAATACTTAGCTGAGGTTTTTTGCGTTAATATATTCATATATTTATATATGCCGGTATATCTAGCATGACAACTGCCGACTACATAATATATAAATGAAAAGAAGAAAAGGATACTCCTTAGCTGAAAGACTCACGAGGAAATATCTGCTGTGGTTTTAAATTCACGTCGTTAGTGTTCTTGACCAACAGTGTGTATTAACTAAATAAATATAAATAATTACTGACCCTCATAAAATCCTATTGTTCTCTCTCAGCATTATATCGGCGATTTCAGCCTGAGAAAATATTCATATTCAGTCAAGTCCAACTGTCTGAGGAAAACGGTGGCGGTCCTTTTTGGTAGCAGGGAAATTATCAGGGGTAATCCTAAACGCGCTAAAACGTTCAATATTGCAGTGGGCTGGCTGCACTGCAATATTTTTAATAATGCAGCCTGCTTCCAGCAATATTTTTAATATTGCTGCATGACTGTGGTATTTACTTCGTTACTTTTCCACTCAGTAATTTTTGAAAATTCGCGAATGTCCGCGCATAATTTATGATGAAGATCTGAAGTTAAAAAGTAAATGAATACACCATGAGAAGTACCATTCCAGGAGACGTACAGACGAAAACATTTTACAGTTTATTTAGGGCACATCTGACAATGACAGTCTTTCTCACTTGTAAGAAATAACAATTTTCGTACTGTGAGTACTAATTACAACTGACTGATTATAATCTTCGCTCTGGTTTTCGTCTAAAACCTTTTCGCTTAACCCCTGTAACCCTGTTTCTTCCCTTTGTCCATCATATTTTTGCTCAACATCATTGTTAAACAGTTTTTCATTTTTTTCCTTGACGTCTATTTCTGCCCTCTTAGGAGTCGCTCCCTGCAAGATTTCACTTGCTTTCCTTTTAAGTGTTGATGAGGTACACTTATACTCCCTAACCCCATCACATGATCGATGACCAGTGGTTTCTACAATAACTTGTTCTGGCACACCACCTTCGTACAATCGTGTGGCGCAACTTCGTCGAAGGGAATGATTTGTAAAGTGCCCCTCAAAACCTGCTCTTCGCATAATATTCTTAACTACGTTCCCTAACGTTTCCCTCCCCATAGCTTTATTATAATACCATACGTCCCCTTTTGGCTTTGGCAAAGCCCGCAAATAGAATGCGTTGTCACTGATTTCTTTCGGCACGTGAGATACGTATTTCTTATACAGCTCAACTGGGCAACGCTCTACATTGGTTAAGTTCTTATATGCCCGAACAACTTTCCTTTTGATGCGCAAATGGCTCAAACCGCCATTATTAGTTTTACTGATATCCTCCATATACTGTAAGAATTCATTACCCGATTCGTCACTTTGTAGCGATAACTGTGAGTTTTTAAATCTCAAATTCCTGTGTTCCTGCCCAGCCCTTAGAGCAAACTGAATGCCAAAAACCCAGACCAAAGTGTGGCAAAGCAGCTCTGCGTTGTCGCTCCCTAAAAACCCGTTTTCCCACAAATAGTTTTCTTGTTCCTCCGTAATAAGATTAGCCTTGTTGACAACTAAGCCTATTCCTTGCCCAGCTTTTTCTTTCATTTGAAAATTCAAAGCTGAATTCAAACTTCTAAATTTACAACCTGTTTTGTCAATCAAAGTTACATTTCTCTTACATTTCACACGTAAAAACGTTTGAATACTACTTATCATTTCATATAAAGTCTTTCCTGGATATTCTTGTCCATCTTCTTTTCTAACTTCGGCAATAAATCGAGCCAAGACAAAATCCAGCTGCTCTTCAGACATTTCATCTAGATTCTCGTTTATCAACGGTTCACCACTATAACTCATTTCATTTACGGCTTTATTTCTCTCAACCATCCACTGATCAAAGACTTTCAGCACCCACGCCCATTTTCGACGACTTGAGTCTGACACCCAACTTTCTTCAAATTTTTCACACTCAACAGACGTAATTGGTTTTCTGAATCTTTGCTCTTCTATAAACAATAACAAAATACAAGGAAAGCTTTTCTTAGTCGTTTAAAAATGACCCCCAAAAAGTTAAAGCGTAATTACCTTCAACGGCAGCGGCATTTTCCGACCTCTGGCTCTGCGTTATGAAAATGGCAGATTCGTCTTCCGAAGAATCCTCCATCAAGCTTCAAAACAGTAGCAACTCTTTGCCTTCCAACAAACAACTCAAATAACCAAGTGCATTGTGTTAATATACAATGCAAATTACGTTTGCATGAAATTCAATCACACACCTGAAAGATGTGGAAAGTTACATAATCTTTACAAGGATTTAACAATGACTAAATTCCGGGAAATGAAAAGGGTTATGTAATTTGTATAACTACTAGACAATACGTGCTAATTGCATTGTTAGAGAGAGAAAATAGTAGGATTTCATGAGAGTCAATGATTATATCATCTTTGCAAGTAGTTAACAATGGCTGAATTGGGGAATGAAAAATGATTATGCAATTTGTATTATTACTGGACAATGCTCGCCAGTTGCATTGTTGGTGTACCAAAACATCAATATGAAGGGGCGACTGAAATCGTCGATGTAATGCAGAGAGAGAACAATAGGATTTTATGAGGGTCAATAATTATAATAGTTAATTACTTCGGTTCGCAGCATTATTGGGTATAATGCTGCGAACCTCAGTAATTATCTATTAATTATTGCTCTTGCTGCAAGGTGTTAATTGATTCGGATTGGGCTGGTCAGCTTAGATCAGAATTGCAATTTTTATCACAACCAGTTACCAGGATTGTGAGTAACGATAACATTTGCAACAGAGTTCAGTTTCCTCGGTCTGAATGAAATAACAAGGCACTGATTTATGTAAGCTGAACCTTTATCTCGCCGCTATTGCAAAAAAAAGCTCGGCTCTTTTTCTCATTACAGTTATCCGTCCTTAGTTATAATTAAAAAGATCGAACGCAAAATCTGATGGCACAAAATCTTTTATAGCAAATTAAATAGTCGCGCCTGAACACATCAAATTCAAACATCCTTCGTACTTTCCAACCATTTATCCGAGATGTTCTTAAGTTCCAAAGTGGAACATCGACATGAGCTAAGAGGGTGATAGGATCAGTACACACACCTCCCTCGGTCAATCAATCACACAAGGAGAACCTCAACAAATGCAAATGCAAGTGCAAACGCAAGCGTCAACGCTAGCAATAAAAAACTTTTCACTTTCTTGAGCTTGCATCTGCGTTCACTTCCTGCCCTTGTGTATCGGCAAAAGCTCAATCATTGTCGGCCATCTTGGAAAAATACTTCTACTGCGCTTGCGTATCTCTCTCTCCTTGCGTTTGCGTTGGACGTGTGAACTCGCTTGCATTTTCCTTTGCGTTTGCGTTTGCATTTGGATCGCACGTGTGAACCATGGAATGACTTAATTATATATAATTACAGAGCTGAATACGTTTTCAATCTGACAGTTGGCAATGTTGCTTTTATGTTGAGCCGTTCTGTTTTCATTTCACGACGTTCTGCCTATCTCCATAAAAAATGACAAATAAAATAAAAATCTGTGTTTTGGACTCTTTTGCAAACAAAAAAAAGGCCTAACCGAGAGTTTACGTGTATATAAACAGACACGCCTGCTGCGCGTGTTCTCACTGGTCGATAAATAGAGGATATTACACGGTGGCGTGAAGATATGAATTTTATGTTCGAGTGGCAAGAACAACATCTTATGAGTGCGCGCTGGAAACGAGCGAGATATTAATCATGCCACGAGAACATCAAATTCATATCTTTGAATTAACGTGTAATTTCATTTTAATTATATGGACAATAAATATACGTGGTTGAGATTGTAAAGCTGGTTTTAATACAAATACTGGGTATTGATAGAAAAAAATTCCCGGTGCCCAAATTATAACAAGGTTTAAAAATAACACCGTCAGTTGGGCCAAGATACCTGTGAATTGGTTTTATAAGCTTAATTAAAATTCGATTACTGACTCTGACTAAAATCATCAGATACT